GGGCCAGGAGGTAGGAACCTGGCACTCCAGTCAGGCCTCCCACCTGAGTATCAGGGAGCCATCTGCTGGAGCTGTCACCCACTCCTTCCTAGGCAAACTGGCAAGGACCAGGAAATGGAGCCCCTGGGACTGGAACCCTATCTGATACAGGATGTGGACATCCCAAATGCCAGCTTGATCCACTGAGTCACAATCCTGGCCCCTTCACTGGCATCTGAACTATTAGGCTGAACACTCACCCCATTAATTTACAGTCCTCCAGGACCTTGTCAAACAAGGGTGTAACAGTAGCTATCTTTGTCCTTCTCACTATCATAAAGAGACAAACCTAATGTTTCTCCATTAAGCAAATTTCTAATTTCTAATCTTTGTTTGCTAAGAGGTCTTATCATAAGCAGGTATTGAACCTTATCAAATGCTGTGTAAAATGAGTGATTGTGGGGCCTGCATGGTGGCTGCATAGGCTAAGGGCCAGTATCCCATTCGGGTGCTGGTTCCAGTCCCTGTTGTTCCACTTCCCATCTAGCTCCTGCTAATGTGCCTGGGAAAACAGCAGAGGTTGGACTGAGCCATTGCTCACCTATACCCATGTGAGAGACCTGGAAGAAGCTCCTGGCTCCTGGCTTTGGATCAGCTTAGCTCTGGCTGTAGTGGGCATTTTTAGAGATTGAATCAGCAGTTGGAGGAGGTCTCTCTCTTTCTCTGTCTCTAACTCTGACTTTCAAGTTAAATAAATATTTAACAGAATGAGTGATTGAGGTGGTCAGATCATTTTTTCTTTAGTCTATTTGTGTGGCGAATTACAGATGGATTTTGTAATCCTGAAACACTTGCATTGCTGGCATAAACTGCTCTTGTTTGTGATGTAGTACTCCTTAAATACACTTTGACATTTGGCTAAGTAATATTTTAAGAATTTTTGCATCTCTATTCATAGATGAAGTAGGCTTACAAGACTTTTCTGGTATTATCCTGAACTGATTTTAGAGACAAGATTCTTCTAGCCTCATAAAATGAACTAGTTTGGGCTGCTTTAGGATGCAGTGGGTTAAGCCACTGCTTAATACACTAGTGTCCCAAACTGGAGTGTTGGTTCATGTCCTAGCAGCTCTGCTCCTGATCTGCCTCTCTGCTAATGTGCTAAGCACTGTAGTGATGATCCAAGCGTTTGGACCTCTGTTACTCACGCAGGAGATCTGCATGGAGCCGCTGGCTTTCCTCTGGCCCAGTTCTGACTGTAGTCACCATTTGCGGTGGGGAATGGGAAGCAGCGGGTGGAAGATCTCTGTCTTGCCATCTTTTTCTGTCACTCTGCCTTTTAAAGAAAGACCCTTTCACTGCTCTTCCAAGTGTGTATCTCAAATCTTCGCTCTAGAATGAACCACTTTGCTAATGGACCTGGGAAAGCAGTGGAGCTTGGTCCAACTGCTTGGACCCCCTGCAATCACTTGGGAGACCTGGAAGAAGCTTATGGCTCCTGGCTTCAGTCTAGCCCAGCCCCAGACATTGTAGTCATTTGTGGTGTGAACCAGTAGATGGTATATCTCTCTCTGTAACTGTGATTTTTAAATAGAATTTTTACAAATACATGTTTCTTTTTTTAAAAAGATGTACATTGTTTTTATTGGAAAAATGGCTACTAGGTTACTACCCAAATGGCTGCAATGGACAGAGCTGTTGATCTGAAGCCAGGAACCTCCTCTGGGTCTCCACATGGGTAAAGGATGCCATAGCTTTTGACATTGCTTACTGCTTTCCCAGGTCATAAGCAAGGAGCTGGATGGGAAGTGGAGCAGCTGGGACACAACTAATAAAAATGCTAAACTTGCTCAAAACCCTAAGCCTATCCATCTATCTATCTGCATGTGATCCTAGCACTTGCAAGCTAAGGTTTAACCAATTAAGCTATTATACCAACCACAAAATATGCAATTTTTTGCTTTTTAAAAAGATTTTTAAAAATTTTATTTATTTTTATTGCAAAGTCAGATATACAGAGAGGAGGAGAGACAGAGAGAAAGATCTTCCGTCCGATGATTCACTTCCCAAGTGACCGCAATGGCTGGTGCTGTGCCGATCCGAAGCTAGGAGCCAGGAACTTTCCTCCAGGTCTCCCACACGGGTGCAGGATCCCAAGGTTTTGGGCTGTCCTCGACTGCTTTCCCAGGCCACAGGCAGGGAGCTGGATGGGAAGTGGAGTCGCCAGGATTAGAACCGGCGCCCATATGGGACTCTGGTGCATTCAAGGCGAGGACTTTAGTCGGTAGGCCAACATGCCAGGCCCCTAAAGACTTCTTCTTCTTCTTTTTTAAAAGCAGCTGCAACAGCTGGAACTGGGCCAATTCAAAGCTAGAAGCTTTCTCCAGTTCTCCCATGTGGGTGCAGGATCCCAAATCTTTGGGCTGTAAAGACTTATTTTTATTGAAAGTCAGGTTCATAGAGAGAGAAGAAGATTCAGAGAAAAAGATCTTCTATCTATTGGTTCCCTCCCCAAATGGTCACAGTGGCTGGAGCTGAGCTGATCTGGAGCCAGAAGCCAGGAGTTTCTTCTGGGTCTCCCATGAGGGTACAGGGTCTCAAGGATGTGAGCCATCTTCTGCTGCTTTCCTAAGCACATGAGCATGGAGCTGGATGTGAAGTAGTGCAGCCGTGACAGGAACTAGAGCCCGTTTGTGATAACAACACCATAGGGCAGAGGACTAGCCTTTTGTTCCACCTCAGTGGCCCCAACACTAAATCTTATTAAAAAAATGCAAAAAGTACTTGGGTTCTTGCTCCTCCCAGAATTGAGTTCCTGGCTCCTGGCTTTGGCCACTTTCACCTGTTGTCTCTTAAAATCAAAAAAGACAGAAAACAGAAAACGGGCAGGTAGTCCTGAGAGCATTGACCTGACCAGTCTTTCTGATTCGGTCAGGCTGACTGCACAGCAGACACGGTATCTGAGCTGAGAGCTGAAGTGTGAGTTATTAGCTGGGGCCAAGAAGGGGCGGTGGGAGGGACAGATGAGTACCCAGGCAGAGGCATCTTGGTGGGCAGCAAACAGGTGATGCATTTACAGTGTGGAGACTGCCAGTGGGGGCCCAAGGAACGGTGGCAGGGAACCCCAGAATGCCATCCACTTGTAGGGGCCCAAGAATGCCATAGAAAAGTTTAGACATGATCTAAGTTTACAAATAAAGATCCCTCAGTTCAGTGTGATGCCTCAATTAGCTAATCCCTTACAAGCACCAGGATCCCATACAGGTGCCAGTTCATTTCCTGGCTGCTCCATTTCCCATCCAACACCCTGCTTATGGCCTGGGAAAGTAGCAGAGTATGGCCCAAAGCTTTGAGACCCTGCGTCTGGCTCCTCGCTTCAGATCGACTCAGATCCAGCTGCTGCGGTCATTTGAGGAGTGAACCAGCAGGAAGACAGAGATCTTTCTCTCCGTCTCTCCTTCTCTCTGTAAATCTTCCTTTTCAATAAAGCTAAATAAATTCTTTAAACAAATAAAGAGCCCCCGAGATGATAGGACTCAGCAGGACAGGAGTGGGCACAGGGGTTGGCTTGAAGACTGTCATGGAGTCCTAGAAAGACGTGACAGCATTGGGGCCCATGGAGCCGGCAGGGAACTTGGAGAGGAGTTGGGGACACTTCAGTTACAGAAACACAGGGTTTTAGAGCTGGAAGTCCCCTTAAAGAAACACACACATTCACAATTCAAATAGCACAATAAAAATGAATCACATAGAGTCCTCAAGAGTTTGCATTTTAATACAGAGGTAGGTTAATTGGAGAACACAAAGGACCCTTTAATAAAGGCACTGGAGAAATGAATTTACCAAGACATGTTTGAGCCAGAATGGCTAGGGTCAGAAATGAAGGAAGAGAGGGGCATTGGGGTGGAAGTGGGTAAGAGGGGTAGGGGAGGCTGGGCTCAAGGCACCGGAGGCAAGGTATGAGATGGGCTGAAAGGGCAGGGAGAGGGGTGCTTGGAAGAGTGGAGGGACCGTGAAGGAGAGCTGGGAGGCAGAGGGCGGAATCACAGCCCCCAGGAGTCGGTGAAGCTAGTGTCCAGAGTGGGACGGGGACGGGGGCCGGGGGGGGGGGGGGGGAATGTACACCAGAGGCCAGCCTGATGATGTGTGTGGTGTGGTCGGATGGGGAAGGTGGAGAATCAGCTTGAAACGACTCCAGGGGAAGGGAATGATGGGTGCGGCTGAGACTCTGACCCAGGCCTACCCCTGCTCCCCACCCTCTGCTAGCTCCCAACCTTGGTGCTTTCCCGGCTCTCCAGGGAGCCTCGAGGCTGGAAGGGGGTGGGGCTGCGAAGGGGCCGGATTCTGTCACGATGGGGACTGCACCGGGTAGGGTGGGGTGAGGTGGGGGTGGGAAGGAGGAAGAAGCCGAGCCCAGAAGCCCCGCATTTGTTGCAGGACCAGCCGAGATGAGATGGGGGAGTGAAGGCAGTGGGGGTAGTGTGGGGATGGGTGGTTGGCAGGTGTCTCAGAGACGAAAGTCCTGGAAAGCTGCCGAAAGGCGGGGTTCTCACAGTCTGGGTTAGAGCCATCGGTGAGGGCAGGAGGCAAAAGAAAAAGGACAGACACAGAGGGTGGAGGCGAAAGTTAAAGCCGGACCAAATGCACAGGAGATAGAAACTGACTACGAAAGAGCATCCCGGAGGCCGGCCCAGCGCCTGCGGCTCTGCAGTGATCCAGGTGCACCTGCTGCGAAGAGAGACAGGGACATCCTGGGGTCTTTGGGGAAAGTCAGTCCTGAGGGATAGCTCGCAGCTAGCAACTCCTAAGACGTCTCCGCCCCCAACCCCCTCCAGGCCAAAACCGGACGAGTGACTGGGCGTGACCCTAGTGCTCAGGTTTCTTCCTCTTTACCTGGGCAGGGAGGGGTGGGGGCCAGGACTTCCGGTGCAGGTGAGTGTCCCTTCGGTGACGTCAGGTCACCCTCGGCCGCCCCTCCGGTCCCGCCCCCTCCTCCTCCCGCGCTCCCGTTGCCCCGCGAGGGCGCGCCCCCGACGTCCTACAAATACTCAGGTGCGCCGCACCTGTCCGTCCGCACCTGCCGGCTCGCCGGCTCTTCCGTGCACTGCGGCTTCAGGCCAATAGCTCAGGATCTTATTCTGGGCTTGCCAGGCACTCAGGGCCGCGCCCAGACGGCCCCCGCACCTTTCGTTTGGGTCGTGTCGTCCAGAGCGCCGGGGGGACCAACCCGGCCTTGGGGATCGCTTTTGTGTGGAGCCGCTCCTCCAGGCATCGCCCGCTCCGTCGGCTGAGACCCCGGGGAGGGGTCGGTCTAGACTTGCTCGGGGGACCAGAAGATAAGATCTGCACCTAGCCGGTTCGCCTTTGTCTCTTTCGGAGACTAAAAAACTTTACTCAACTCGCTTTTTCTGTGGGGCTGCCCCCACCCCAAGTTCCATTTCCTTCTCGGGGCTCCCCGTCTTGTCTAGAAGGCGGAAATGGCCAACTCGGGCCTGCAGTTGCTGGGCTTTGCCATGGCCCTCCTGGGTTGGGTAGGCCTGCTGGCCAGCACCGCCATCCCACAATGGCAGATGAGCTCGTACGCAGGCGACAACATCATTACGGCTCAGGCCATGTACAAGGGGCTGTGGATGGAGTGCGTCACGCAGAGCACCGGCCTGATGAGCTGCAAATCCTACGACTCCGTGCTCGCCCTGTCCGGTAAGGCCGCTGGGGTCCGACGGGGCGGTCTCACCCTCGGGCCCGGGCGGCAGGGTGAGGTCCCCGGCAACCTGGGTTCCAGGAGGAAACGGAAGTGGCCAGGCCGGGACCGCGGGGCTGGGCGGGTGCGAACTGGGGTTTCTGGTGGGCGCACGTGGGCCTGTGCGCCCCGGCCACCTACGCGCCTCTTTCCACCCCTAGCCGAGCCTCCTCTAGGCAGGGGTGAGGGTCTCCACTTCCTTGTCAGTCTAGGCCTCGTCATCTCCCGCCAAAAGGGGACACAAAGGGACCCTGGCCGAGGGCCACGGAGCGTGTGTGGTCATGTGTGGGCTGCTTTCTGCGGCCTCTAATCTTATCACCCGATTAGCTAGAGCCACACGCCTGTGGCCTGGATTAGCAGACCCGGAGTCGGGGCGCTTTCGAGATGTTTGACCTGCACCGGGTGAGGGGCTCCTCGAAAGCCCCACAGGCTGCCCATGCTGCGCCCTTCCCCCTCGGCGGGGCGGTTTCATCGAAACCCTTGCGCCCCGGGCGGGTTCCGAGCAGAGGGCGGGGCAGGAGCAGGAAGGCCGCGGCTCCAGGAGGGGGCGGGAACCTGTGGGCCCGGGGCTGGCCGTTACTTTCGGCGGGAGGCCCCCAGGCCGCGGGCAGAACCCAGCGCCTTGCAGACAAGGGTCCAGGGGTTCCTGGGTGCGGCCCGGGACACAGAGGCTGATGCTGACCTGGGCAGCACTGATGGCCTCCCTGCCTTCTCACAGCTGCCCTGCAGGCCACTCGCGCCCTCATGGTGGTGTCTCTGGTACTGGGCTTCATGGCCATGTTCGTGGCGACCATGGGCATGAAGTGCACGCGCTGTGGGGGAGACGACAAAGTGAAGAAGGCACGCATAGCCATGTCTGGAGGCATCATTTTCATTGTGGCAGGTGAGCCACAGGTCTAAGGTGGGCTCCACCCCTGAGCAGCACTGGGCAAGTGCACCCATAAAGCATACACCTTATCTGAATTCCCATTCTCTCCAGGTCTGGCCGCCTTGATTGCTTGCTCCTGGTATGGTCATCAGATTGTCACAGACTTTTACAACTCCTTGATCCCCATGAATGCAAAGTAAGTCTGGGAACCCCACCTAGGGATCAGAGCTGGGATCCTGGGCTAGCAAGGAGGGCAGGGTCAGGCTGCTGTTCGAACCCTCTCCTCCCTTCTTTCCACAGGTATGAGTTTGGCTCTGCCATCTTCATTGGCTGGGCAGGGTCAGCTCTGGTGCTCCTGGGAGGAGCGCTGCTCTCCTGTTCCTGCCCTGGGAGTGAGAAAGCCTCATACCGCACACCCCGCTCCTACCCCAAGACCAACTCTGCCAAGGAGTACGTGTGAGCTGGGGCCCCTGGGCCCGGCCTGGCAGGCTCTGGGTGTACCCAGAGGCTTCTATGGGCCTGGGATAGGGCTCAGCCTGGGAGCAGGTGCGGGACAAGGCCTCCTGCTCAGTTCATCCCTGCACACCATGTACAGTTCTCTTGGGGGTGGGATGGTGGGGGAATATGTGTTTTGTACAGTAATAAAAAAAAAAGTTTTGGGAAGGTGGCCGTTTCCCACTTTGAGGGTCTCTGCTTTGTTGCTGGTGATCTTATAGGGAGCCTGGAACCAAGAGCATGCCTTCTTCACTGTAAAACACTCAGAGCTTGGCCCAGGCACAGCAGTTCTTCCCTATTCCATTTCTGTTTTTATTTGGGGCCCTGACACCAATAACTAGTGACTATGAGTCTTGGCTTCTCCCTGTCAGTCCTGTTTAAAAAGCTACCAGAGTTTTAATTTAAAAGAAATAATTAAAAAAAAAAAAAAAGCCTTTATTAGGTATCAGGCAGGTTCTGTCCTCCCACCTTCTTCTTGCCCTCATCCGTCCACTGTCTGTCCTGATGAGACTGCCCAGCTCACGCGGCAGTGCCACTGCTGCACACAGGGCACACAGGGAACACAGGTGGGGCAGGGATGAACTGTGTAAACAACACGATGAGGTTCTGGGCTCAAAGTCTTTCCCCCAACTCCAACTGCAGTCTGGTCAAACATCTAGGTCATCATCCGGGTCTTCCTGGTCCAGGTCATCATAAGCATCTGGCTCATAGAAGATGTGGCTGGTCGCCTGGCCTTGCCTGGGCCTCAGCAGAGCCTGCTGTCTGAAGAGGGAAGAATTTGGCGCTGGTGAGAATGGGTAATGGGTGGAACCAAGAAATCTCGTCCCGGGGCACTGTGACTCACGCGTGCGGCCATTCTAGGTCCAAGTCCCTTTCTCTGCCTTCCATGCCGAGTGCTGACGCACCTCTTGGCATTAGGACAGACACTCCAGGACTGCTCTCCCCAGAACACCTGACACGCTGAGCCGCTCCAGGGCAAGGATTCCTCTGTGGTCTTGCTTCACCCATCCACCCCCACACTGGGCACAGAACAGCAGCCACGTGCGTAGCCCTTGTTCACCAGCCCTTGCCACACCCACCAGACTATAGCTTCCTGTCCTCCAGCACTGTCGCCTAGAGATGAGGCCACCTCCTCAGGGTCCTGGCTGCCTCGGGGCCCCAGCCCAAATTGCTCTAAGGCAATCATAGAGAGAAGAGCCGGGAAGGCCCTCTGCCCTGGTGGGAACTATGGGTGGGTAGAGAACCACTCCCCACACCTGTCTCTGCAGGTGGACTTCAGCCCCTGTAAAAGTCAGAAAGGTTAACCAGTAACCTGGCATCACTGCATCGCTGTGGGGCCCAGACACAATCTACTTGGGGATCCAGGCCCCTGTACCCAAACCTTACTTTTCAGAGCTGAACTGGAAAGGCAGGGTCAGGCTATCTTTGGCTTCTTTCTCTTTCTTGGACAGGCGAAGGTTAAAGGTTAGATGAGTTGTGTGGTCCACCTGTAGATAGGTACAAAATATGCTGCCACTTGCCCCATCCCTGGCCTCCTGGACCCCACCCCCAACCTGTGCAGTGTTCCTCTTCCCTCAACCCTGCCCATGCCCCCACATTCTGGCCCTGGCAGTCTCAGATACCGGGGACGTGTGAGGAACCGGGTGGGGCTGGGGCTCCAGTGGGGGTCGCTCTTGGAGAGCCAGGCTGAAGTCCGGGAGGATGGAGAACCACTGGGTCTGAGCAAAAGAGGGGAGAGTTATGGTTTTCTTCCTTCTGGCCTCAGCCACAAAACACCTCAGCAACTGGCTCCTCTCAGCCCTTGCCCTGCATTTCTAACCCCTCCCTGAAGTCCTTTACCTGCAGCTGCTCCTCCCCACCACCCTGCCAGGTAACTGCCTGGGTCTGTTTATAAACCTTGTTCCATTTCCTGGAAGACAGTATCTTACTAGTTAAGCCCACGAGCTCTGAGTCTGGCATTTTTTTCCTAATGGATTTTTACTTTCATTTAAAAGGTAGAGTGTGAGTTTTTGTTGGTTCACTCCCAAATTCCGGGAACAGTTGGGGCTTGGCCAGGCTGAAGTCAGGAGCCTGGAATTCAACTTTATGGGTGACTGGGATCCAACCCCAGCACCTGAGTCATCATTTCCTGCTCCCCAGGGTGCACACTGGCAAGAAGCTGGCCCAGAAGCAGAGGCGGGACTCACTGGGCACTCCCGCACTGGACATGCATGTCCCCAATGGCACCTCAAATGCTGAATCAGATGTCAGCCCTGCATCAGGCAATTCTGAGTTCAAATCCTGGCTTGGCCACTTACTCCTTATCATCTTGGATAGGTGACTTAAATTGCTAGCCAACACAGGCAGACACTCCATGTCAGCTGTCTTTTCACTTTTTCCATCCTGTCGTCCCCCTGGCTTCCACCTCCAGACCTCCCTGTCACTTCTTCTGACCTGCTGAGTTGGGCGCTGTCGAGGCCTTCGATAGAGGATGTGAGCTGAGGCCTGGCCCAGTGTGCCACCCAGGGTCACTTCAGTCTGGGCAAGATTGCTCAGCGCTCCCACGGGGCCTGGGCCATGAAGTTCTTCATGCAGTAGGCCCAGGACACGCACATGCTCTGCTGGGGAGCGGTACCCTAGAGAGGGAAGAGGAATGGAGGTCATGAATGGCAGAGGAAACCATGCTGGGCAGAAGCCCCAAAATAAAAAAGGAGAGGCCCACATTCCCCCACAGCTGTGACCCAGTCCTGTTTGACCTTGGCCATGTCTACCACCCTGCCAAGCTCTACCAGCCTCACTTTACCATTTAGTACTTACTTAGCTCAGGGCCAATCTGATCTCAGCACCACTCTGATTCCTATCCTTCAGTAGGGCCTGGGGGGCCCCCAGCCCCTGGCACCCACTAACCCCCTAGCTGTACCTCTTACACAGTGAACTGCTTGCAGTTTGTGGAACTTGCCAAGATCTCGCTGGTGCCATAGAGTCCCTTTCTCCCTCCCCTCTTGGAGGTTATCTACAGAATGTCAGGTAATACACCAAGAACTTTTTTGGGAGGAAGATTTTTACTTGAAAGGCAGAGCATGTACACACACCAGACAGAATACCCCCTCCCTCTCTCCAAATGACCACAATGACCAGGAAATGCCAGGAGCTAGGAACTCCATCAAGGTTCTCCATGGGCGTGCGAGGGAATAAAATACTTGAATTTGTCACCTGCTGCTTTCCAGGTACATCAGCAGGGAGCTGGGCTGGAAGCCCTCTGATCAGGGTCGCAGGCCTTCCAAGCCGGGTCTTAACGCACTGCACCACAAATGCACCCCCGCACTCAACATTCTAGCACAATGTCTGAATCCTTTTGTAGGTCGGCATGAAATTACTTATACTGACCGGCAGAAATGACAATTTCACGTGGTTCATCCTAACGCTATACCCTTTACCAGACTATCTGGTAACTTTCTCTTAACTTCTCTATGCCCTTTATACGACTTTATTTCTCCATTAGCTAGGATTGTACCTGACATTGTATGGAGTTATCTTGCTTGTTGAATGGATGGATGAACGGACAACAGAGAAATAATGTGGGGGCAGGTTGGTGTGTTGTACAGTGGCTTAGGCCCTGCTTATGATATCAGGACCCTAGCGTGCCAGTCTGGGATCCAGATGCTCTACTTCTGATCCAATTCTATGCTAATGTGCCTGCAAAATAGCAGCAGGTGGCCTAATATTTTGAGCCCTTGCCACCTGGGAGAGCAAGATGGAGCTTTGGCCTGGCTGGATTTGGTCTGTGTCCATTGGAGGAGTAAACTAGTAGATGGAAAACCTCTGCCACTTTGCTTTCCAAATAAATTATTGTTCATTTCTTTTAAAACATTTTAAAGATTATATTTTACTAGAAAGGTAGATTTACAGAGAAAATGAAACTGAAAGCTCTTTCAACCTCTGGCTCACTCCCTAAGTAGTTTCAACAGCTGGAGCTGCGTCAATTCAAAGCCAGGAGCCAGGAGCTCTTCTGGGTCTCCCACGTGGGTGCAGGGTCCCAAGGCTTTGGGCCGTCCTCTACTGCTTTCACAGGCCACAAGCAGGGAACTGGATGGGAAGTGGAGCAGCTGGGACCCAAACTGGTGCCTATATGGAATCCTGGTGTTTGGAGGTGGAGGATTAGCCAATTGTGCCGTGTACAAACTGCAAAAAACAAAACAATAAAACCTCTAAAAAGCAAAACACCAAGAATCATGAGGGACAGGTGTTTTCATTTCCAACTCCCGTGTCCTGCCAATGCACACCGTGGGAGGCAGCAGGTTGCAGCTCAAGTACTTGGGTCTCTGCCACTCCCATGAGAAACCCGGATTGAGCTCTAGGTAGGTACCTGGCTTCAGCCCGGTCTAGCACTGGATTGGCTATTTTTCTGCATTTAGGAAATGAACCAGCAGATGGAAGATCTTTATCTCTCCCTGAGGGTTTTTTTTTTTTTTTCCTTTTTAAGATTTATTTATTTTTATTACAAAGTCGGATATACAGAGAGAAGATCCTCCATCCGATGATTCACTCCCTAAGTGAGCACAACGGCTGATCCAGAGCCAGGAGCCAGGAACTTCTTCCGGGTCTCCCACGTGGGTGCAGGGTCCCAAGGCTTTGGGCTGTCTTCGACTGCTTTCCCAGGCCACAAGCAGGGTGTTGGATGGGAAGTGGAGTTGCCAGGATTAGAACCGGTGCCCATATGGGATCCCAGTGAGTTTAGGGCGATGACTTTAGCCTGTAGGCCATGGTGCCGGGCCCTCTCTTTGAGTTTTATCAAAAACAAAAGTAACTGAGTTAAGTAAGTTAAACAAAAAAGAAATGATTGGAGAAGAAAACAAGAATGATTGGTTAGATGGCATTACGGAACAGCCAAATACCAGAAAAAAAAAAAAAGTTTAGCAGATGGAAGGGGGCTGACAGGTGATCCCTGACGAAGTTCTTAGGATGCAAACAGAAAAGGCACAGTCTGTCGGGAGGGTCTTACCAGGGCAGTGGTTCTGACATGTCAGGCTGTGCAGGACTTGGCAGAGTGTGCTGCAGGCGAAATGAAGCAACAGCCAGCTGAGAGAATCGACAGCAATGGTGACAGGTGTGGGCTCGGGCCTCATGTACATGGTTTTCAGAGCTCCCAGGGGTCCCCCAGCGGGGGCCTCCCCAGTGTCTGACCAGCTGAGAGGGTCCCTGAAGTGGTCATGGTAAATTAGCCTGCAGAGAGAGGGCAGGTGACAAGGTAACATTGCTACCCATCTCCAACTTCATACCCTCTGGCCTTTTTTTCCTCAATTTCCCCAAATATCCCAAATGTCACTGGAAGGTAACTATTGAGCTGGAATACAGTGAGAGCACAGATGTGAACATCAGCCTGCCTGAGTGTCAGCTGACCCATCCCTTTCAAGGCCCAGTTCTTTTCACCCATGAGATGCGGGATCAACTTCTTGGCATTTAGCACGGTGTTGGACCCACACTCCCTACCTGAGACACGTTAGCTATCACCGCTACCAAGGACGGGAGAAAGCAGAGGAGACCTGACTTGGATCCTGTCTGTAGCACAGCTTCAACACAGTCCAAGACTGAAAGTCATGGGGCAGTAGCGACGGATAGAAACAACAGCTCAGAAAAAGGAGACGCTCCAGGGCTGGAAATCCTGGGAGAACTTCAGGGCACAGAACCTGTTCCCAGGGGCTGGTGCAAAGCTCAACTGGCTAACCCTCCATTTTAGGTACCGACATCCCATTTGGGCACCAGTTCATATCCCAGCTGCACCACTCTGCGTTCAGCTCCTTGCTCCTGGCCAGCAAAAGCAGTGGAGAAAGGCCCAGATCTATGAGCTCCTGCACCCACAGGGGAGACCAAAGAGCAGCTCCTGGCTCCTGGCCCCTGGCTGCAGCCTGGCCCAGTTCTGGCCATTGCGGCTATTTAGGGAGTGAACAGCAGACGGATGATTTTTTTTTTTTTTTGTAAATCTATCTTACATACACACACCCACACAAAAGGATCTTAAAATTCAAAACACCAATGAACACAATCTACTGAGTTGCCCAGACTAAGAAAGAGGAAAAGCTTTATTCTACAGATGTTTCTTCATCAATCAGGGTCTTTCTTGTTTGGGCACTTTCAGTTACTTTCTACTGGTCAGTACACCCTGGCACTTGCACCCACTAAGGTCCTTTTCCACTGGTTCCAGACTCGCCAAAGCCACCGGCTTGTGCTGGGCCTGTCAGTTCCTTGCACTATCCCCAGATTCACTAGAATGGGAGCAGGTGAATTTTGTTGCTCTATGGTTGGATTTTGTATCTCTATGGTTGGATTTATTTCCTTTAAACATTCTTAAAGGCTTATTGATTTTTACGTGGAAAGTCAGAGTTACAGAGAGGGAGAGACCAGGTGAGAGTTATTTCCATTCACTGGTTCACTCCCCAAACAGTGGTGTCTTTGGCAGGCAGGCTGTTGCTGCTCTTTATTCTGCACTTTCAAAGGATTCCCCATGGCCTTCAGGATGGCAGCTAACTCCCTTGTTGCGCTTCCTAAGTTCTTTCACAAGCAGACACCTCTTTCTCTAGCCCCCTTATTTTGCACATGCTGTTGCCTCCCGCTCTGGGACAAGTTCTTCAATAGCCTGTGGTCCTGTGGTGAGCGTTGAGGCCAGCCCGGAGTCCAGGTCTGGATGAGGCTCCATCAGATTCTGAGTAACGCAAATAGCAGAGAGCTTTGGCTAACCCGCAGGTGCAGCCTCCAGCATCGACCTGCACCGCGACCTCTGACGATCTTTCCTCACTGACCTCCTACATTCCCTCCTTGGACTTCCCGAATCATCAACACTGCGGTTTGTTGCTCGCACTGTCTGCTCCCTCTACCTTCCTGCTTGGAGGTTCACACAGAATCCAAGTTCTTCCCACCTGTACTTACCGGCTGTTGACCTCGGGGTCCAAACCTTCGCAAAATTCCTCCTTACTCACTTCCAAGCCCAGAACGTGCACCTGTTCCCCACTGGGGCCGGAAGGAGAGAGGTCATGTCACAGAGTGCTGGGGCCCGGGGGCTGCCTCAGCAGGTCGCGGGGGGATACTCACGAAAGCGCAGCTTTCCTGACCAGCGCCTTCAAGAGACTGCGTCCCTCCCACTCCACGGAGTCTGGGAAGAGCGAGGATGGACAGAGTGAGGAACAAGATTCTCGTCCTCAGAACCCGTCGCCACTTCCACCCTCGTCTATGACCCATGATCCCTTTTTAGCGAATGCCGCCACGAGCCAGGCCCAGGAACCCCTGTCCGCTGTCCAGGTCTCACCCCGAAGCAGTACGAGGCCACGATGGTCCAGCAGCGAGTCCAACATCTCCGACTCCGCCAGCGTCCGGCGCCCTCTGATGGCGTCACGGCGTGCTGCCCCGCCCCCTCGGGGCACTCCTGTGCCCTCCTACCATAGCGAACCGGCAAAGTTTGGCAGCAGAAGGGAGGAGCACCTCCTGAGCGCGGCGCACCGGCGTAGGGATGACGTCCCCGCCCTGCATTTGCACCGCGACTGGGACTAGTTAAAAGCCGTTGGGGCAGTTGTCAGGAGAAGGGGAGGAGGACGCACGCGCCCCCTTTACGGTCCCAGCCCTAGGGCCAGTGACGTCACCACGCCACGCCCGCTCGTTCAGGGCGGGACCGCCTCCGTCTCAGGCCCTGCCCAGCAGCCAGCCTGTGCGCGTGCGCGGTCGCGCAGCCTTGTTGGGAGGACCCTTCGGGTTTTCTTTTCCCTACCCCCCGCGGACGTACTAGGGGGAACTTTAGTCCGGGTGAAGCCAATACACGTCACCACCGGAAGTAGTGTCAGAGAGGAAGAAGAGGGGGGAAGACAGAAGGAGGGAGCCCTCTGGGCGGTAAAATGGCGCCTGTCAGAGTGGGAAATCCAGCTGCAGAGGCTGCAGCCCCGCTCCGCAGGGGCTAAACGACCCCCGACCTCGGGGAGGGGGAGGCCACTCCGGCCCAGCGCCCCGCGCCCTCCGGCTCCCCCTCCCCCTCCGTGCCGGCTCTTCCGCCCAGCCAGCCCGTCCTCCGCCGCCGCGGCCCTTCGCGCGCCGCTGCCCCCTCCCGCCCCTTTCTCTCGGGCAGCCCCCTAGCGCGCCTGCGCGGCGGGCCACCCTCCTCTTTCTCCCCCTTCCCCTCCCCCTCCTCCCTCCCTCCCTTTCCCCAGCCCCCTCCCTCAGCCCCCTCCCCCAATTCTCCATCCCCTTCCCTCCCGGTCTCGGAGGACCCCGTCTTAATCCTGACCTGTCTCGACCTGCAATCTCCCCGAAGTCGTCGGTGCCACTCCCCGCCCATGTGGGCCCCCGCGGGCTGCCCACGCCTGTCCCCCAGCTCCCGGTTCCGCCGGGCTTTCCCCTCTCCGGGGGTGGCTTTCTGAGCCGTCCGCCCCGTGCCCCTTCTCCGTAGCCTTTCCTGCCACTCGGGGCCCCCGTTCCCCCCTCCCGGCGGCGGGGGGCTGCCCCCGGGGGGCTGGCGGAGCTGGGCCGCGGGGGCCCCGGGGCCGGCGGTGCCGGGGTCATCGGGATGATGCGGACGCAGTGTCTGCTGGGGCTGCGCACGTTCGTGGCCTTCGCCGCCAAGCTGTGGAGCTTCTTCATTTACCTTTTGCGGAGGCAGATCCGCACGGTGAGCCTGGGGTGGGACGGGAGCTGGGGATGGGGGAACCTCTGTCTGCCGAGCTCACAGGCTTTCGGGAAGTATCGGGCTTCGGTCAGGGCCTAGCAAGGGGTCCTTCGCGGGGAAGGAGGACGCGCCGAGTGGGGTGTGGAGTGGAGCGGAGGGGAGGCTTTGGTTTTGAGATCTGGAAGTGCGGTGCGGGTGGGCTTTGATGGCCCTAAGAAGGACTGGTTACAGCAACTCTTGGGGGGCTAGAGTGGTGGGTGGGGCGCTCTTTGAAAAGGGTGGAGTTGTTGCTGAAGACACCCAGAGGTGGGGAACACCTGTTTGCGAAGACATGTTGATGTGGGCATATGAAGACCCTGCATTGGAACCTAGGTGTCCATGGTGGGAGGACATAGGTTGACCTACAGGGATGGGAACTTGGAAAACAAGCCATGGGGGTGATGAAGAAGCTCCTGTGTTCATTAAGGGAACTCCTCCCAGAAGGCTCCCAGAAAAAACTTCACGGTGTGTAGCTATGTTGATTGAGACCCTGGAACTAAAAAAGACTTTATCGTTATTATTGTTGCTACTGTGATGGGCTTCTTTAGGGGAAAGGAACGCATTCTAGTTTTGGACTCCGTGCAGCTGGGTGAGGCTGGTTAGTTTTAAGTCTTGAACAAGAGTTAGTTTTTTTTTTTTTTTTTTTTCCTCCAGGAGACCTTAGCATTAAAAGGGATGGGCGAGGGAGAGGGAGTGGGGGCCGAGTGCATGTGGCCAGGAATCCCTGCATTCCCTCGCCTGTAGCTTCTTTCCAAGGTCACAGCTCTTGCTACCACCCGGCTCATGGATGTGCCCTTATGTGCTACCGAGAACTGGGCAGTCCCTGGAGGGAGCTGAGGGGGCAGGGGCCAGAAGTGCAGCTGGCTGGAGCGGGGCAGGGGCCAGGAGTGCGGCTGGTCGAAGCCCAGCATAGCACAGGAAGATAGACCCAGTCAGGGCAGCTGGGGCAGCCCAGTTGAGGCTTGCCCTCCCAGCCCCAGGTGGAAGAGCCTGTTGATGTCACTGGTTTGGGGAGGGTGGGCCTTTCTCTGAGTTTGTTCTTTTGCCAGTGTACCTGCTGGACTTACTGATTTAGAGCCCATCTGGGAGCTTGGGGTTGTAGGCAGGACTCTTCCCTAGTGACAAGAACTGGGAGCTGAGAACATGCGGGGTGCTGTGGCCTGTGTGGGGCCAGCCCTCAGAGTTTCCTTTGTGTGTTGCCAGCAAACCTCTAGGACTTTGTTCTGAGCACACACACACACACACACACACCCTCTAACTCATCTGTTTCCCAGGTGGGCCATAGGGATAGTGCCCCGGCTGTCTCCCCAAGTGAGGCTCTTCTGGGCAGTTCTGACCTCACAGCCTTTTGTCCTCCCTCCCCTTCTAGGATGGCTCCCTCCCCCACTCCCTTGCTGGCAGATGCATGAAGCATTCCCTACATGCTCAGCCTGTGCAACCCGAGATAGCAGTGCGGGACACCCGAGCTGCACGGCCTTCCTCTTGGTCCAGGGAGAAAAGGACAGAGTGTGGCGTGAGGCCTCCAGCACAGATCGGGAGCATTTGTGTCTTAAAAGAGCAGAGCGGGCAGTTGGCTGGCTTTGCCTTGACTTCCCTGAGGCTTGGGAAACTGGAACCTCCGGAAGGGCGGTGCTGGAAGGCTGGGGTGGTGACCTCTCCCTCACCAGCCCCACCGTGCTCCGGCCCTCTCCACTTGGCTGGGCAGGTGGGCCTTCCCCGTTGTCTTGGCCATGTCCTCGTACTGGGATAGGAGGCTGTGACGAGTGCTGAGGTTCCCAACAGCTTGTGACTTGGCTAGTAGCGACAAAAGTGGACAGGTGGCTGGTTAAAATAGGCCTGGTGGCCCCCAGCCAAAGAACTTAGCTGACCTGCTGGCCTCTGGATTCCTTCATCCTCTGCTCCCCTTGAGGGATCCAAGGGCCTCTTGACTCTGGACTCCTACTGTCCTGTCCACTAAGGGGTGGGAGGCTCCGGTTCCCAGGAGGAGCTGATTGGAGTTGCCACCTGGAGCCCTTGGGGTGAAGGCCAGGCATGGAGGGCATGTGTGTTTCTTGGTTGCATTGCCTGGTGATAGGGTTAAGAGGACAGGTTCTGGGCTTGGACTCTGCCTGGATCCAGACCTGGCCCAGCCCTTTCATTGATTCTCCCTGTATTGACTGACCATCCTTGCTACAGTGTTGCAGGCACTGGGGCACAGCCTCAGCCAACCTGAAAGCCTTGTGCTCCTGGAGCTGCTATTGTAGGTCAGGTGTGTAATCCCCTCTAAACCTTAGTGTCTTCATTCTAAAAACAGGGAATGTTACTAGGGTTGTTCTCAGGATTCTGTGAAGTCCTCCCCAGTCACCTGCACAGTACCTGGTGTCTTCTTGCTGTGGAAGCCTTCTCAAATGTTCTCATCCTCTCTTGCTATTCCCAGGTAATTCAGTACCAAACTGTTCGCTATGATATCCTCCCCTTATCTCCTGTGTCCCGGAATCGGTTAGGTGAGTGTGCCAGCTGGCCACCAGGGAGGTGGGCGTCCCACTTGGGGCCGCAGCTCAGTCGGCCTTATCCCGTGCCCTTGTGATTCAGCCCAGGTGAAGAGGAAGATCCTGGTGCTGGATCTGGATGAGACACTCATTCATTCCCACCATGATGGGGTCCTGAGGCCTACTGTGCGGCCTGGGACTCCCCCAGACTTCATCCTCAAGGTGCGTAGGGGTTGGGAGTGGTTCTGTGGTTATGGCTGGTGCTTGGCCCACGCCTGGGCTCCCTCTCCCAGTGCCAGCCAGGGCCCCTGGTTCCCTTCCACTGGCACCAGTGTGAGCCTGAAGAAGGGAGGGACACCGTGGGCTGGGGTGTGCTTCTGGCCTGTGCTGTGCTTCTCACCCTTCTCCCTGGCCGCCTTCCCCCAACTTCACAGGTGGTCATAGACAAACATCCTGTCCGGTTTTTTGTACATAAGAGGCCTCATGTGGATTTCTTCTTAGAAGTGGTAAGTTTGCAGAGCTAAAGAAGAATTAATTTAGGGGATTAGCAGGATGAGGGTGGGGCTAGAGAGATGATGAACTTGGAGGCTTGGAGAGTGGTCATAATTTTTTGTGGCCAGAGACACTTGGTAGACACTGCTAGAAGGCCTGAAGGACTTGTATGGTGTCCTAGTGCAAGAGGACCAGATGCCTCAAGCAGTCAGTCACCTCCCATAACCTCTTGCTTTCTCTCAATCTGTGTCAGGTGAGCCAGTGGTACGAACTGGTGGTGTTTACAGCAAGCATGGAGATTTATGGCTCTGCTGTGGCGGATAAGCTGGACAACAGCAGAAGCATCCTCAAGAGGAGATACTACAGACAGGTAAGGGCTGAGTGAACCTGGGGAGGAAGGTGGGTTCCAGGAGCAAGTCCTGGAAGGGGTACGGGGGAGGCATGCAACATAATCCCCTGCCTTCCAGCACTGCACTTTGGAGTTGGGCAGCTACATCAAAGACCTCTCTGTGGTCCACAGTGACCTGTCCAGCATTGTGATCCTGGATAACTCCCCAGGGGCTTACCGGAGCCATCCAGGTATGGGGTGGGGTGGTGAGGCTGGCAATTCTGACCTTGGTCCTTGAATACTCTTGAGGTCTACCCTGGGGCTAAATACAAGGTATTGTCCATCTGCAGTGAGAGCCCCCTCCCCCTTCCCATGTGTCCCTCTCTGACCCCCCATGTCTCCCATCATTATTTCAAGTGAGACACAATGGCAGGTCTGACTAGACCCTTTGCACTCTGTGCTGACATCTGGCTCTTACAGTTTCCTTTTGGAGGATCAGGGAGCTTTTATTTAGGTGGCTGACTTGGGGATGGGTTAGGGTGTTTGTCATTGATGACTTCCTTGCCCTTCCAAGGTGAGGGAGCCAAGCCTGGGTCTCTGCTGACCTCTCTGCATTTCCCCACCTGCCTTCTTGCCCACCCTAGACAATGCCATCCCCATCAAGTCCTGGTTCAGTGACCCCAGCGACACAGCCCTTCTCAACCTGCTCCCGATGCTGGATGCCCTCAGGTACGGACAGAATGAGGGCAGAGGGTGTGGCTTATTTCCTCACAGACTTGGTGTTTGGAGCCAGGCCTTGGCACTCCCACACTTGTCACTTTTAGTTGCTGGGTTTTGGGCACGTTGAACCTTTTCCTCTTATGAAAATAGTAGTAATTTTAAAAAAAGATATATATACCTATGTATACATACATACATTTATTTATTTATTTATTAAAAAAGCAGAGTTACACAGAGAGAGGAAGAAACAGAAGTCTTTCATTCCCTGGCTCACTTCCTAAGTGGTCATAACAGCCAGGGCTATGCCAGTTTGAATGCAGGATCCTTTCCCAGGTCTTTCATTTGGGCACATTAGCAGGAAACTGGATGGGAGCAGCTGGGGTTCGAACTGGCAGCCAGTGTCACAGGCAGCAGCTTCATTTGCTACTCCATGAGCCAGCCCTAGTGTTGGTCCTTTCTGTCCCCCTCCCCCTGCAGTGAGGCCACCTCGTGTCAGCTCCGAGGAAGGTACTTGCTGTGCCCACACGCATGTTGTCGTCCTCCCAGGTTCACCGCCGATGTCCGTTCCGTGTTGAGCCGAAACCTTCATCAACATAGGCTCTGGTGACAGCTGCTCCCCCTCCACCTGCCTTGGGGTGGGGGGGAAAGGAAGGGCGAGCCGAGGTGAGGACTGCCTGGGCAGGGCCTGCCCTTCCCGCCCCTCGCCGCCCTGGGAGTCCCATGCTCTGCTTGGAGTGAGGATGGACGCACAGGCCCGAGTTGGGAGCAGCCTCACTCAGCTGGTGTTCACACTCCATGGAAACCCCAGACTGGGACAGACTGAGGCCCGGCAGCACCAACCCTGCGTCTGGTGGAGAGGAGAAACTGGCCAGAGTGAGACAAGGACACACCGTGGCCCGGGAGGCTCTGAGACAAGCCAAGTCAGCTTTGTTGTGATCTGATTTTTTAAAAACTCTTGTACAAAACTGATCTAATTCTTCACTCCCGCCACAAGGGCTGGGCTGTGGGTGGGAGACTGGGATTCCGGCCACTGGATCTCCCCAAACTTAACCCTTCCCTTCCTTTCCTTCTATTTTTCTCTCCTTAGATTCCCTCAGACCTGTAACCAACTTTCTCTTTTTGTTTTCCTTTCCTCTCTTTTAAACCATCATTATAACTTTGAAACCAAAACTGTCCTAGCTCCTTCTCTGGGGTTCTGGGTATTGACGCGTGGGATTGGAGGGGGACGCTCTGAGCACATCCACCCTGTTTCTGAGGCGCCAACAGGAGACTGTGGCACCCAGGGCAGGGAGGAAAGCTGGAGATGGCGCCCTGAGCGTCCACAACTGAGGCTTTGGTGGGAAAGCTCCAGTGACCACACACACTGCGTGGGCTGCACCGAGAGCCGTGGACAGGGGTCGGAGCGCCTGAGAGCAGCAAGATGCAAGAGGAGGAAAGCAGGAGAAATCCGGAAGCCCCAAAAGGCACGGAACTGGAGACAAGCCAGGCTGTGCCCGGGCACTGACGTGGACAGGCGCCCGGCCGCCCGCTGCCCTCCCTGCCCGGCCCTACTTCTTGCACTTGCCACGTGACGCTCCGCCCCTCGCCGGGATCACATGATTTTACAGTCGCGAGTCCCGAAGGTGTTCCTCCGCCTGGCACAGTCCTGCATCTCGCCCCTCCTTTCTAGTCCCTGTCGGACCTCAGTGCTGCGGCTCCCACGTGTCGGACGTCTAGCCAACGTCTGTTTCTATTCTTCCATTCGTTTGCAGAAACTAATCCCCGCTGTTGGGGCACTACTTTGTTTTGGTGTCAACCACCGCTTTTTGCGTAGCGACGCGTTTCGGGAATAGCCCTGTAATCTTGGGCTACCTCCGAAAAGAACATTTGCAGAATGTAGTATCGCATCCTAGGACCGTCTCCTACGGCCCTTCTCCCCCGGCTCCCGAGAGGGGCCGGCGGGGAGTGGGTTTTGAGGACCGCCCACAGCAGTGGAAGCCGCCGCTCCGCTGCGTCGCCTGCGCAGCTCGCCGATCCCGGAGCGATTGCGCCGCTGGCGCGAGGGGCGGGCGGTGGGTGGCGCTACGCCAGCTGCGTGACGCCGCTGAGCTAGTGGCGCAGCCGAGCGGCCGGGGCGGCCCTGGCGGTCGGGGGCGGGGTTGGTGAATAGGGAAGTGGCGCAAGTGCGGGATCGCTCCGCCGAGTCGGCCGCGCGTCGCCTCTGTCGCCGCCGCCCCCGTCCCGGCCCCCCCGGGTTCCCTCAGCCCCAGCCCGGTCCAGCCCGGTTCCCGGGAGGATGAAGTTCGTATACAAGGAGGAGCATCCGTTCGAGAAACGGCGCTCTGAGGGCGAGAAGATCAGAAAGAAATACCCGGACCGGGTGCCGGTGAGGACGCTGGCAAGGGCCGCGGCGGGGGGCGCTGGCGCTGACGCCACACTCCGGGCACACTACCGGCTGAGGCGGGGTGGGAGCCAGCCTCAAACTCTTGGTCCTGGGTCCGGGAGTACGAGGAGTGGGCTGGTGATGTTAGAACTGGTAGTGAGAAGACGTGCGATGGGAGAGAGAGAAAAAAACAACGCTTGGAGCTCAGGGGAGTAGAGTCAGCAGTGGGGTGGACAGCCCGAGGCCCCGCCGCCAGCGGGCTGGGTTGGCGAGGAGTCTGCGCGAGTCCGCCTGCCATCAGAGTTGTTTATGACGCCGCCCTCGGCGGGCTCGGCCTGTTTGTCGCGAGCGCAGGCCGGTGGGCTCGGATCTCTGGACTATCGACTGCATCGCCTGGACCGAGACAAAAGAGGACTGATCCTGGCCGAGGTCCTGCCAGACCCGCCAGCTGAGTCTCTGACAGGTTGCAAAAGGGGCTGCCTTTTTCACATCTCATTTCCCTTCATCAGGTGATAGTAGAAAAGGCTCCCAAAGCCCGGATAGGAGACCTGGACAAGAAGAAGTACCTGGTGCCTTCTGACCTCACAGGTGGGAGCCTGGCAGCCCTCGGCCCCTCTTTTGGGTGGGTGGGTGGGGGTGCAGTGTCCTAGCAGCTGTTCTGAGGGCTCCCCTGTCCCCATTCCGTGTCTTTGGTAGTCGGTCAGTTCTACTTCCTGATCCGGAAGCGAATTCATCTCCGAGCTGAGGATGCCTTGTTTTTCTTTGTCAACAATGTCATTCCACCCACCAGTGCCACGATGGGTCAGCTCTACCAGGTACCGTGTGACTCAGGAGGAGTGGGGGGCGGGGCAGGTGTTGGGGCGTCCCAGAGGAGGTGGGGGCACGGGGACTGTGTCAGGTCAGCAGCTGTGGGGTAGCTGCCTGGGCTGGGGGTGGGACAGTGAAGGGGGACTAGAGAGCCGCGCTGACCAGGACTTGCTGGCTTAGGGGGCGCGGGGAGGTGGGCTTGAGAAAGAATGGCTCTTGAAGAATGCGGGGAGTGGGCTCCATTAGGTAATCTGAGCCCTTTCCCACTTGCACCCCCAGGAGCACCACGAGGAGGACTTCTTTCTGTACATTGCCTACAGCGATGAAAGTGTCTACGGTCTGTGAAGCTGCTGCCCCTGAGGCGGGGGAGCCCCGTCCTACAGCGAAAGGGCCGGTCCACCCTCCTTGACCACCTGGTCCTGCTCCGGCGCCAGCACCGCCTCCCTCCTGGGGACCCACACTTGATGTCGCGGCCTTCCCTGTGATGGCGGAAGGCCTCTTGCCCCCTCTTCCTCTCCTCTTTCCTCTCCCCCATTCTGCTCCAGACCTCCCGATCGTCCATCTCTGTCGCACCCGCCCAACTCTTGTTTTGGTTTCTGTTCCCTAAAACTGCTCAAGGGGTTAAGGACGCAACAATTCCTTCCATCCAGCACCTTCTTTTTCGGGGGTAGGTGGAAGGGACTGAGATTGTAGCAAGTGGGGGAGGGAGATAGGAGGCACATCAATAAAGAGGAAACCACCGAGCTGGACTTTGCCGTGTGTTGCTCCCGCCACCCCTACGTTTTGATTGTGGTTTAACTGGTGGGGAAAGGAGAGGAATGGATGTGTGGGGAGGGTAGAGGTGTGTTTCAATTGATTATGTGGATGTTGGACTCCCCTTGTGTTGCGATGGATGATGCCCTGCTAGGATTTTAGGAAACTGGTTTTCAGACACGGGTGGGCTGGGTCATAAATGCCGGTTCTCACTAGCTGCTAGAGAAAACATAGAAGTAAGAGCTGTAGATAAACATGTCTAAGTTTGCCATAACCTGGATAAAAAGAGATTTTCGCGAATGAGAGCTGATGAAAGGATTGTCCTCAGGGGCCCATCCCTTGGCCAGGCGCGGTGTGGGCCTGCAGCATTCCAGGGAGCGGGATTCCAGGGACGGCGCCTTTATCAACGGGAGGACTGCAACTCCCACCAGCCACTTCTCCGCCTAGCCGGAAGCGGGGCGGTCCCTGAGGGATAAAGAAGATGCAGATTGAGGCTGTATGGTGGCCGAGAGTTCTAATCCCTTCTTCCTCCTCTTTCTTCGTCCCGCCCAGCCTACATTTCCCAGCAGCCTGCGCGCGCTCTTCCGCCCTACCTTCTTGCTCCCATTCTCCCCGCCACTCCCCGGGAGGGAGGAGAGCGGTCTAGTGCGCCTGCGCCTGTCTGAGCGTTGATGGGAACTGAAGTTCCGAAGGCTCACACACTTCCCTGCCCGCTGTTCCCACACGGACTACAAATCCCGGAGCGCCCTGCGCGTGGGCGCCGGCGGGGAGACGGCGGCGGGGGGGGAGGCCGCAGAAGAGAGGGAGGGTGGAGGGAGGAGAGAGGGGGAGGAGGGAGCAGGCGGCCGGCGGCGCGGGGGGAGGGGGCCCGGTCCGGGAGTGCGGGAGGCTGTGGGAGAGGGAGGCGGCGGCAGCGGCTAGCGGACTCAAGTCTCCACCGGGCTGAGGCGGACACTCGTGTGGCGCGAGGCGTAGAAGCACCGAGCACCAGAGGCGGCACCGGGATCCCCAGCTCAGGGGAGGGGGCCGCCGGACCGGGAGGAGGGGAGGGGGCGATGCTGGAAGCCATGGCGGAGCCCAGTCCCGAAGGTGAGCTCTCGACCGGCACGGAGCACCGAGCCGGTGGGGTGGGGGCGGCCGAGGAATCCATTGGCAAACTTGGAGGTCTAGCCCCCGGTACCCGGCGAGGGAGTACCGGGAAGGGTCGGGGGCCTAGCCCTGGAGGTGGGAGAGCGATGAGTTGAGAGACCTTGGAGAAAGGAGTGGGAGCCTGGGGTGGGTAGTTGGAGATCGGGCACCGTGTGTGTGTGTGGGGCGGGGGGGACAGGCGGACGGGCTCCGGTAGGAGCTGGGAGCCCGAGCTCCGGGGGGGCTCAGGGGCCGAAGGGGCCTCCGCCTGCTTGGGGCCCCGGAGCTGGGTGGGAGGTGGTGTGTGTGTGTGGTGTGGGGGGGAAGACCTGGGGCCGGAGAGTTGCTGAGGAGGGCGGCGGTGGAGGACTGCGTGAGGGGCCGCGAGTTGGCCGAGGTGGGGGAGTTTGTGGCGGCGGTGCCCGAGCTCCCTGTAGTTGCCGCCCGAGAGTGTCGGAGGGGCGGGCAGGTAGTTGTAGGGGGGCAGAGGGGGTCTGGGTATTGTCTGCGTGAGAGGGACCTTGTGCCGGGCTAGTTGCGAGGAGAGCGAGCTCTGGGTAGTTGTAGGGGGCGGCGGGGCGGGGTGCGGGGGGAGGGGGCTGGAGTTGCGGGGTCCGCGGCGCGGTGACTTGGTGAGTCCGGGGACGGAGAGGCGAGGCCCGGGGGGCCGGCGGCGGCCGGAGGGAGCTCGGAACAGGGCCCGGGGGCCCGGCGGGGAGCCCTTGGAGCTCGAGACGGGGAGGGGCCAAAGCCCCGGATGGGGGCGGAGGGACGGCGAAATTGTGGGGAGCGCGGTACTGGGGAGGGGGGGCAGGTGGGGCCGCGGCCGGGCGAGAGCGCAGGGGTCTGTCCCGGCCGCCAAGTCGGGGCTGGCGCCTACAGGGCAAGCCTCTGTGAGTGTGTGTTTGGGGTGAGGGGCGCGCCGGGCCGCGTGCTCGAGTGCATGGAGCCGGAGGGCGGGGAGCGGCTCAGCGTGGTCATCCTGGAGCCTGGGGGGCCGCCCGAGGGCTGGCGTGGTCCTCGGGGGCTCCACGGCCAGCAGAGCGCGGCCGAACGGGGACTCGGGCTCTGGGTGCGTGTGAAGGACGGGGCGGGCGGCGGCCGGGACTGGGGGTGCCCCCCGAGAGCGGCGCGGCGGGGTGGGGCGCTGGCAGATCGGAGTAGACGGGAGTCCGGAGAAACCGTGAGCGTCGGGTGTGTGCGGGGGTGCGGGGCTCCCGGGCCTCCCGTGGGGGGGAAGGGGAGCGCTATAGCGAGGCCGGCGAGGGCGCCGCGCCCAGGCTCCGCCTCTCCTGGGGCGGAAGGGGGAGCAGGGGCGGGTCCAACCCAGCTGGGGGCCCTCCTGTCCCGCCCCGGGACCTGGGAGAGGAGTGGGGCTCATTTCCGAGGGTTCTAGGTGTGGAGTTCCCACGGACTGTTGGCTTGACTCAGCTTTTCTTGCTTCCACAGATCCACCTCCGACTCTAAAGCCAGAGACCCAGGTGAGCCGTGCTTTTCCTTTTGAGGATCGGGATCCCTGACAACATCTCAACCCCCTTTTCCTTACTTTAGGGGTTGTCTTTGGGGAATGAGCCCCTCCGACTGGGCTTCCATGTCGTTCACCTTTCCTTCCTTTCAGCCCCCAGAGAAACGGCGGAGGACAATTGAGGATTTCAACAAGTTCTGCAGTTTTGTGTTAGCCTATGCTGGCTACATCCCCCCTAGCAAAGAGGTATGGCCCACTGAGACTGGCGTCCTGGGACTGTTAAAGGGGGGGCTGTTGTACAGAGAGCATTACTTTTTTGAGGAGAAACTTACTGGAAATGCTGTGTTTCTGAGAATCCTGGAAGCACTTGGGGTTGGTGGAGTAGCAGGATAGTTGATGCACCTGGAAGCTATGGGGCGGGATGATGGATTTCTGAATGGTTGGACTTCGGTTGATGAAAGGTGATGCTGAGTAAGTTTCAGGAAGCTCCAAGTGGTAACAAAGGAAGCTATACAGGAATGCCTGCAGGGGACACAGTGTTCCCAAGGCTTAGCCTGAGAACGGCAGGGGAAATGCAACAGCAGCAGGGTGATGTGCGGGACAGTGTGGCCATGGCCCTGAGCTTCTAGGTGGTGGGGTTGGTGTGTGCTGAGGCCTCCCTCAGGCTGAGCTTGCAGAGGGGCCAAGGGACCCCCCAGGGCTCCTGCTGACCATGGTCTCTTGGTCCTTTGAAGGAAAGTGACTGGCCAGCCTCAGGTTCCAGCTCTCCTCTGCGAGGCGAGAGCGCAGCTGACAGTGATGGCTGGGACTCAGCTCCCTCTGATCTGCGGACCATTCAGACCTTTGTTAAGAAAGCCAAGTCATCCAAGAGGAGGGCAGCTCAAGCAGGGCCCACGCAGCCCGGACCCCCAAGGTCGGCTTTCTCTCGCCTGCAGGCCCCTGACAGCGCCGCCCTGCTGGAGAAGATGAAGCTCAAGGACTCCCTGTTTGACCTGGATGGGCCCAAAGTGGCGTCACCCCTTTCCCCCAGCTCCCTGACCCATGCTTCCCGGCCCCCCGCTGCGCTCACCCCTGTGCCCCTTTCCCAGGGCGACCTCCCCCAGCCTCCTCGAAAGAAGGACCGAAAGAACCGCAAGCTGGGGCCGGGTGGGGGGGCTGGCTTTGGGGTGCTCCGGAGGCCTCGACCCACCCCTGGGGATGGGGAGAAGAGGTCTCGGATCAAGAAAAGCAAGAAGCGGAAGTTGAAAAAGGCAGAGCGGGGAGACAGACCCCCTCCTCCTGGGCCTCCCCGGGCACCCCCCAGTGACACAGACTCTGAGGAGGAGGAGGAGGAAGAAGAGGAGGAGGAGGAGGAGGAGATGTCCATAGTGGTGGGGGATGAAGCCCCAGCCCCTGTGCCCCCCACGCCCTCAGAGGCTCCCCGGCCACCCGCCACAGTGCCCCCAGAAGGCGCCCCGCCAGCAGACAGGGAGAGCAAGGAAGTGGGCAGCACGGAGACAAGCCAGGATGGGGACGCCAGCTCCAGCGAAGGCGAGATGCGAGTCATGGATGAGGACATCATGGTCGAATCAGGTAAGAGACCGGGGGTGGGCTGCCCAAGGACCACCGCGATGTTGGGTGTGGTGGTGCAGGCTGAAGATGACTCCAACCCTCCTCCTTCCCAGGTGACGACTCATGGGATCTCATCACATGTTACTGCCGGAAGCCCTTTGCCGGGCGGCCCATGATCGAGTGCAGCCTGTGCGGCACATGGATCCACCTGTCCTGCGCCAAGATCAAAAAGACCAATGTCCCCGACTTCTTCTATTGCCAGAAATGCAAGGAACTGCGGCCTGAGGCGCGGCGGTTAGGGGGTCTCCCCAAGTCTGGGGAACCCTGACATCACCACCTCCAGGCTGGAACCTGCAGTGGCGAAGCCCCCCGCCCTGGGGAAGGGAGCTTGGGGTCCTCCTGAAGGAACCCCCTCTCCCCTGGAGTGGAGATACTGTCAGTACTCCATGGGAGGCTGGCTTGGCAACGAGCGGTCCCTGTTCCCACCCTCTCCTTCCCCCCAGTCTGTGGAGTTAAACCTCGACATTGCAGTTGGATGTGGGGGAGACTGTGTGGGCCCCCTGCCACCTCACTTTCTGGGCCTGGGATGGAATGGGACAGTTGTCTATAAAACTCTAGTTGTAAATATAGCATTCCCCTCCCTCATCTTTGATTTTACTCCCAATTTTCTTCTACACCGGTTGTACTTTAAATTTGGACTTCCTCTTTTGAGCGAGGCAGCTCAGAGGTGGAGTAACGAGAGCCTGGCCAAGCAAGGAAGGCAAGCAGAAAGGCGGTGGGTCTCCCCTGCCTCGCGCTCAGCGCTGGCCAGCTGTTTGTGCAGACAGCCTGCGTGTTGTAAATAAAGCAGAGTGGGCGCTTTCGTGTTTATAGCCCTCACTGACTGTCCCTGCCTGGGAGGGGGGCGCTGGAGAAGCTGCCCGAAGACCCCAGCTCTCCCTCTGGAGGAGCACCCGCATCCAGTGGTCAGCCCAGGCACCCCACCGCCTTTAACCCTCCCGCTGCGGTCTGGACCCGCCAGGCTCCCCGCCCTCAGCTCCCTCTTGCTGCTCCCGCCTGGGGGCCGGTCCCCCGCTCTGCCGGGGGCAGCACCCCTCTCTGGGCCCGCCGTGTCGGGGTCACCCCCGGTGGGGAGCACACTTTGGGGGCGGATCGGCGTAGAGCTGGGAAACCGTTGCTGAAGGCAGGGATCACGTGGAGGGGGCGCTGGGAGGAGCGGGGGCGGTCACGTGACGGTGGAGTGGTCACGTGGTGGGGCGGGGATAGGTGGGCGGGCTCGGGCCACGTGACATGGGGAGAGGTGGGCGGGGCGGGCGCTGGCGACGTCGGCTGCGGCGCGCGGTGGCCGAGTCGGCGGCTCTGGGGCGCATCCCGCGGCCCGCTCGCCGCCCGCCCGCCCTGTGCCCTCCGCCGTCCCCGCGCTCCGTCCCGCCGAGCCGGGGCCTGTCCGCGCTCCTGTCGGCTCGCCAGGCGTGCGCAGGCGCAGCGGGGGAGAGCCCCGCCGGGTGGGCGGCGGACCCCGGGCGCGCGCGGGCGAGACCATGGCGGGCAGCAGCACGGGGGGCGGTGGTGTCGGGGAGACGAAGGTGATTTACCACCTGGACGAGGAGGAGACTCCCTACCTGGTGAAGATCCCAGTCCCCGCCGAGCGCATCACCCTAGGAGATTTCAAGAGCGTGCTGCAGCGGCCCGCGGGCGCCAAGTACTTTTTCAAATCTATGGATCAGGATTTCGGGTGAGCGCGCGGCCTAAGTCGGGGGGCTCTGTGCCCGGTGGATGGAGCGTTATGGAGGGGGGTGTGCACGGGATCAGCTCGGGGCCATCCTGGGCTTGTGTGGCCTGTGAGGGAGCAGATTGGCCGTCCCGGGACAGACAAGGTTAGCTTGGGCAGAGAGCGGCACAGGGACAAAGTGGATTATTAGATGGTGCTGTGTGGGATGGGTGCGGGCACCCAGACGTGTTGGTGTGTGTGGGCGGGAGGCGGGGGGAGTCGGGACTGTGCCGGGCGAGATGGGTCCTGCAGCACACAGGTTAGGTGAAATAGCCTGGAATCTCTTGACGTGGACTGGGCTACACTGGTGCAGTTTGGGACATTCTAGAACAGATCAGAATTGTTTGGGGAGCAGGAGGGTGGACATTGGAGTGTATATTCATGCGAAAAAAAGGAAAAAATGTTGAGATGGTATAGGCTGTCTCGGAGTAGGTTATCCTTGGCTGACTTGGGTCATTCCAGACCCCATAAGGTTTTCCTGGTTAATTCTGATTTTTTTTTTCTTCAGGCCAGACATGGCCATTGGGGCACACAGTACAGAGCAAGTAAGGCTGTTGGGGCCTTGGCTGATACCAACAGCTGTGTTGGGATATTCTGGTCTGGACTGGTGCAGAACAGCTTGGGTCATCCTGGGGTAATTTGGAATTTCCTGGGCTCTACAGGGGCCGGTGCATACGAACCCTTTTGGTTTTTCTTGCTGTGGGGGATGACCTCTCTTGAGGCTTGGCTCTCCATGCTTTGGAAAGTAGGCTGCATGGTTTGTTGGGATAGCTTGAGTCCTAGGACCGTGCGACCAAGTGGACTCTGCCTGGAGAGAGTACCCACCAACTTGGGAGGTACCCTGGATTTCAGTCGAGGCTCTGCTGTTTGTCAGCGGTTGAGTTTACTTTTCGCATGTACAGACTGAACTGCTTAGTTCATGGACTTGGCATTCAGTGGACCCTGGGGCCAGATTCATTGTTCTCCTTGGCGTTGAGGCCAACAGGTGATGGCATGGAGTGGGCCACGCTGTGCTGAGATGCCTTACATCGGGAGGAATGCTGATTGTACTGGCCAGGCTGTGTGAGCACATTAAAAACCAGTGTATTAATTCGGCATATATAGGCATATTCACCGTAAGTATAGGCATAATAAGGCTCACTGCAGAACCTTATTAGGCGGAAGGGTTAATCTGACAAGATGTCATGATTTTAGGGTGAGGGATGGTGTGTGTGTGTGTGTGTGTGTGTGTGTGTTAGAAACAGGGAAGGAAGGAGGAGAAGGGAGAGGGGAGAAATCAAAGAATCATACTGCTCACATATTTATTTGTTTAGTCAACAAGTGTTTGTTAATGCCTGTCAGGTGCCTCACTGTGTGGCCAGGATATGGTGTGTAACAGACTGGGTGTCACTGGTAGAAGGGGGTGTGTGCAGGTCCAGTCCACTACGAGAGGTGGTGGCCCAACTCTGGAACCGTCAGAGCCAACAGCTTTTTGGTGCAGTTGTGTCCCAGGTGAGGCCCAGGGGACTGTTAAGCCTGGCTTCCCCCTTGCTTTGAGCTCAGCCTAATGAGATAATGTCGGTTGCTCTAATGAGTGTTTTCACCCCAACAAAGATGGCACGGCCAGACAGTTCTCCCAAAATGGATCAGAAAAAGACTGAAGGAAAGTGGGAGAGAAGAGGCTTGTATGATGACTGTAGCCTTTTGGGGGAAAGGCATATAAGGAACAGCAAAGAGTTTGGGGACAGCCGCTGGTGAGGCGCCTGTGTTACGTACTTTGGGCGACTGGGTAAGCGTCACTGTTGGCCTTTGAGTTAAGACTCTGGAAGTGTTAGGGGCAGCGTCACACTTGAGGGTGAGTAGGGACAGATGAGAGGCAAAATAGGGAGAGGGACTTGAATGTGGAGGTCTCTTAGGGCATGGGAGCAGGTTTTTTCTGGAGGAGAAGCGTCATTGAGCTGGATGAAGACTGGAAGTAACTGTGGGTGGGAATGGAGGTTTTGGGGGAGGCTGGCTTGGCCTCACTGACCTCTCCTGTCCCTCGGCAGGGTGGTGAAGGAAGAAATTTCAGATGACAATGCCCGCCTGCCCTGCTTCAATGGAAGGGTGGTGTCCTGGGTAAGGGCCCTGTCTCTTCCACCTCCCCTGGCTATCCCAAGCCTCAGTCTATGTCCGCCCCACCAGTCCTTGGAGGCCCCAGCTCTCTGACATAAGAGGACTTGAAAATTTATACTATAAAAATGAAGCCTGGGCTTCCAGGTTTTTGTTTGTTTTTGGCACCAAAATAAAGTTCAGTCTTTTTAAAAGTTTGAGAGCAGTGGAAAAAGATCAATTAATTAAAAAATGCAATTTTGAGAGCAGAGATCTCCCATCTGTTAGTTCATTCCTCAAATGCTGACCATGGCTTTGGTTGAGCCCGGCGCAAGCTGGGGACTCAATGCAGGTCTCTCCAGCATGGGGTGCAAGGACTCTAGTATTTGAGCCGTTGTCCGGCATTCCCAGGAGCCACAGGCTGGTACTGAACCATGATGCTTTGATACAGGACGCAGGCAGTCTAACTGCCAGGTCAAGCCTCGCCCCCTCCCCTACACCCACCCACCCTAACTTGTCTTTTAATTCCCTTTTCCCTGCACTTTTTGCAGCCCCCCTTGTGCTTGCTACTGTTCTCTGGGGCCTTTTCCCTGTTCCATGAAACCCCATCCACTTTGTCTCCCTGACTCCATTTCTTAATGTCTGTCTCCCGACTGAGCCACACATTGTCATGTACACCTGTCTAGCTGGTGTCATCAGAGACCCCCCAACATGAGGTGGCCCCTCCAGCCCATGAGCCTCGGACAGAACTGGCACCTCCACCCCCACCGTTACCTCCCCTGCCACCAGAAAGGACCAGTGGTATCGGGGACTCCAGGCCTCCATCCTTCCAGTGAGTTCTCAGGGTTCTTGAGAGCAGGGAAGGGCAAGAGTGGAGACCCCTGGGCAAGGATGAGGCAAGGCCAGGGAGCCCTGTTGTGACGTGCGTGGGGCCTCCATCCCTCCAGCCCCAATGTATCAAGCAGCCATGAAAACCTGGAGCCTGAGACGGAAACGGAGTCAGTGGTGTCACTGAGGCGGGAGAGGCCTCGCAGGAGAGACAGCAGTGAGCATGGCGGTGAGGAAGGCCAGGCCCTGGAGGAGGCTGGGCAGGGGTGGGCCCCGGGTGGGGGCAGGGTAACCTGATGCCTGAGGGTCCTGTGTTCCTGCTCAGTGGGGGGCCACAGGCCCAGCGGCCCCTCTAGGCTGGACCACCACCTGGCTGGGTACGAGAGCTCCTCTACCCTCATGACCAGCGAGCTAGAGAGTACCAGCCTCGGGGACTCGGACGAGGATGACACCATGAGCAGGTATGACCCCACATGACAGCCCCTAGCACTCTGCCCCCCACCTCCCCAGACCACGGGGGGCCCACAAAGTCTTCCTCTTCCCACTGTCGTGGCAGATTCAGCAGTTCCACTGAGCAGAGCAGTGCCTCCCGCCTCCTCAAGCGCCACCGGCGGCGGAGGAAACAGCGGCCACCGCGCATGGAGAGGGTAAGGGGCTTCCCATGGGATGGCCAGGGCTGGGTGACATGCGTGGGAACCCCAGGGCTTCCCCCTTGGGTGTTAGTAGGACAGTTCCCAGCTCCTCCTGCTTTTCCCACCACAGACCTCATCCTTCAGCAGCGTCACAGACTCCACCATGTCACTCAACATCATCACCGTCACACTCAACATGGGTACGGGGTGGGGTCTGGGGCTGACGGGTGGGCAGGGCCCAGGCTCTAGGTTCTCGCAGACTCCCCGCGTTCACCTCAGCTCCCTCCACAGAGAAGTACAACTTCTTGGGAATCTCCATTGTGGGCCAAAGCAATGAGCGGGGCGATGGCGGCATCTACATTGGCTCCATCATGAAGGGCGGTGCTGTGGCAGCTGATGGACGCATAGAGCCGGGGGACATGCTCCTGCAGGTGAGTGGAGGGGCAAGCAGGGGGCATGGCCAGGGCTGTCCAACTCCCAGGGCTCTGACCCAACCCCTCCCACTGGCTTCCAGGTGAATGACATGAACTTCGAGAACATGAGCAACGATGACGCCGTGCGGGTCCTGAGGGACATCGTGCACAAGCCTGGGTGAGCCTTGGCACTGGCCCCAGTGCCCTGTCCCCTTGTCTCTGCTCCTTTACCTTCTGTTTGGTGAAGACAGATCCCTCCATGTACGTGAAACCAAAACACGTGATATGACATGACGTGTAAATTTGGAGGTCCCCACCATGTGACTCCTGAAATTCCAGATCGTACACATCCCTCTAGCTAGTCACTCTGTTGTCTTCCTTGGTCAATGGAAAAAGTCTGTTTCCCTTGAGCACGGTATCATCCCTGCCCACATCCTCTGACAAGGTGGGGTGTCCTGGGTGTGAGCTTGCCAAGTGTGCACTGGCTTGTCTCAGCCTTGTGCCTCCGGAGTCAGCTGTGTGGGTGAGTCAGCCCCCATCAAGGAACCTTTTACCCTCACCCCTTTACCCACTCCTGCCCCACGCCTCCACTCGCCTGAGGCCTCTGTCCCGCCCTGCCTGCCTGTCCCCTGACTGGCCATCTCTCCCCCACAGCCCCATCGTGCTGACCGTGGCCAAGTGTTGGGACCCCTCCCCGCAGGCCTATTTCACCCTCCCCCGAAGTGAGTGATGCGGGCCAGGGCAGGGAGGTGAAAGTGGGCTATAAACTTGGTCAGGGACCAGCCTGGCTTTGTGGGGGCTGAGACATGATGATCTTAGGGGTTCCCCCTATGTCTCAGATGAGCCCATCCAGCCAATCGACCCTGCTGCCTGGGTGTCACACTCTGCTGCGCTGACTGGCACTTTTCCGGCCTACCCGGGCTCCTCCTCTATGAGCACCATCACGTCTGGCCCTTCCCTGCCTGATGGTGAGCCCCTGCCCCACAAGGTTGTCTGGCAGCTGCCTCCCCTCTGCTCTGCACCTAGTGGGGGTGCAGATCCTACCCCGATTCCTCCATCCTCTGCTTTGGCAGGCTGTGAGGGTCGGGGGCTCTCGATCCACACGGACATGGCATCTGTGACCAAGGCCATGGCAGCTCCTGAGTCTGGGTTAGAAGTCCGTGACCGCATGTGGCTCAAGATTACCATCCCCAACGCCTTTCTGGGTATGCTGGGGCTGTGGGCGGGAAGCATGAGAAGGTGAGGAGGAGAGGGAGATCATAGCCAAGTGTGGGCCAGGCAGGGTGAGGTTGGGAGTGGTGCAGAGAGCTTGAAGCCGTCTTCTCTTGTGACTGACCCCAGGCTCGGACGTGGTCGACTGGCTCTACCATCACGTGGAGGGCTTTCCCGAGCGGCGTGAGGCCCGCAAGTATGCCAGCGGGCTCCTCAAGGCCGGTCTGATCCGGCACACCGTGAACAAGATCACCTTCTCTGAGCAGTGCTATTACGTCTTCGGAGACCTCAGTGGTGGCTGTGAGAGTTGTAAGTCGCTCTGCCCACTGCCTCGCCTGGCCTCCCTGCCCAGGCTGAGCTCAACATTGCAGCCGGGACTGCTGCAGTTGGTGTGTGTCCTACACTGGCCAAGGATGGGACTGACGTCCACTCACTCATGTTAGCTATGTAGCTGGGGCCACCCCTCCTTCATCCCACAGGAGCTCCCAGGCCATCAGGGGCCCTGGCTGTGCCCCATCACTTTCCATCTCCATCACTTTTGGTTCTGGCAGGTGTGGTTTGCAGTGGACAGGCCTGTTCAGCATTCTGGGGTCCAGGCCTCCTGCAGTGGTGACTTCTCATCCCCCACCTTGTCTTCCAGACCTGGTCAACCTGTCTCTGAATGACAATGATGGCTCAAGTGGGGCATCAGACCAGGACACCCTGGCTCCTCTGCCTGGGGCCACCCCTTGGCCCCTGCTCCCCACCTTCTCCTACCAGTATCCAGCACCACACCCCTACAGCCCCCAGCCCCCACCCTACCATGAGCTTTCATCCTACACGTATGGCGGGGGCAGTGCCAGCAGCCAGCACAGTGAGGGTAAGTCAGCCACCTGAGACCAACGCCTCCAGGGTCAGGGTGGGCAGAAGAGCTGGGGCAGAGGCCTGCCAGAGGCTGCTAACCTTGGGCTTAGGCATGCCACTCTTCTTCCCACAGGGAGCCGGAGCAGTGGGTCTACACGAAGCGATGGGGGTGCTGGGCGCACAGGGAGGCCCGAGGAGCGGGCCCCCGAGTCCAAGTCTGGCAGTGGCAGTGAGTCTGAGCCCTCCAGCCGGGGGGGCAGCCTTCGGCGGGGTGGGGAACCTGGTGGTACTGGTGATGGGGGTCCCCCTCCTTCCAGGGGCTCCACAGGGGGTGCTTCCAATCTCCGAGCCCACCCTGGACTCCATCCCTATGGACCACCTCCTGGCATGGCCCTCCCATATAATCCCATGATGGTGGTCATGATGCCCCCACCTCCAGTCCCTCCTACAGTGCAGCCCCCCGGAGCTCCTCCGGTCCGAGACCTGGGTTCTGTGCCCCCAGAACTGACAGCCAGTCGCCAGAGCTTCCACATGGCCATGGGCAACCCCAGTGAGTTCTTTGTGGACGTCATGTAGCACCCCCGATACAGGGCCATGGCTGGACTCCTCGGTGCTCCCGCTGTTACCTGGCGGCCTGCCAGCCATGTGCTCCTTACTCCCCTTGGTGCCTGGGCTTGGCCTGCCTGGTGGCTGTAGCCCACCCACAATCTTTTCCACTGTGACTTTCACCAGCAGTGCCTAGTTCCTCCCCCTACCCTCAGGGGGTAGATAAGGGACCTTTGGTTACTTTTAGCTTTATTATTTTTTTTAACAAATCTTTTTGGGGGTTAAAATGTACTTTGTTACATTTTGGAGAATATTTTTTTAATAGACATGTTCTTTTTTTATATGAAGAATTTCTACTTCCTGGGCTCTTTCTCTGCTCCCACCAGAATGTGGCCATCTTCGGTCCCCCAGTTGGCTCTGCCTTCTGCAGGATGGGGAGTGGTCCATGGTACCCTGGTGGGGGGATTGGGTCCCCCCCAGACAACAGGCCCAGGAATCCAACTTGGTATCTAGGGGGGTCCCATGTAGCTGCCTTTGTTACTCTATTTATTTTAGTCACTTGCATAAAACACTAAATAAAGCAATAGAGGCAAACTCCCCAGGTCCCAGACTGCTTTCTTTGGGAGGGAAGGACCTAAGACACAGTATGGCTTGTCACAGGCTATATTTGGGAGACAGGCAGAGCTCCTGGGAGCAGGCACGGGTGGAGATGAAGTCCCCTCAGAGGCAAGCCCAGGCTCTCTATGCAAGGGGCCTAACTGGCTTGAGAGAAGGCACTTGATGGGCCAGACCTGGTGTGAGAATGCTCAGAAGCCTAGGGGGTTACTGGTGACCACACCCCCACGCTCTACCAAGGCGGTGGAGATGGCTTTGAAGTTGCGGAAGAGCTCTTGCTGCTGGGGGTCGGACTGTAGGGCGACCATGCTCCTGCGGATCCGGGCAGCAGCCTGCGTGGGGGAACAGGTGGAGTTCAGGTTTATGGCCTAGTGTCTCCCACTGCCCACCATCACCACCACCCCAAGTCTTACCTCAATGCACCAGCTGTCACAGAGAATCTTCTCGTGTTGGGCTGTGGGGTAGCCCTCACTCAGGGCCCGGGAGGCTCTGTTAGAAGCAGGAGGGAAGAGATCTAGGCTGGCACGCCAACCCTGGCAGGCGTCCCCCACTCCCGGCTCAGCTCCCCGTGCCGCTCCCTCACCTGGAGAGAACCACCACCATGGCGTAGAGATCAATGGCCCCGTCTGCCAGGCGCTGCAGCACGAACTGTTCATCTGCCAGGTAGATGGGCAGAGGGGTCAGTATGCGGGAGAGCGAGGGACGGGGTGGAGGTGGTTGGGGAGAGCTCACTCACTGACAATCCCCTTCTTGTGCTTTATCAGCTTGGCCTCCACCACAGCAGCAAACTGTTCCAGAGCCTGCACTGCCTGCAGACATGGAAAGGTGCACAGCTCAGAGGGGCAGTCCCCGCCACCGAGGGCCAGGCTCCTCCTGGACGCCCCCGCCTACCAACTGACCAGCTCACCACTCCGGTTTAGCTCTGGGTGGACGATCCCACTGAGACTCAAGCCACTGCCCAGCCCTGCTCGCCTTGGAGGAGGCGGGAGAAGGACTGGTTAGTGGGCATGTACTACCCTGCCCTCCCCTGGCCTGGGGCCCAAAGCTTACCGTCTCAGCTGTTTGCCTGCCTCCCCAAGCAGCAGGCCAGCATTCCCCAAAGGATTCTTGAGCGCATTGCCAAGCCCAGAAAGCTCCTTTCCCTTGTCCTGCGGGGAGGAAGAGGCTGCCAATCAGAACTCCGCCATGTCCTCGCCTCCTGTCCCAGGGTCCTCCTCCCTCTTACCATACAGCCCTGCAGAGCCACAAACAGCCGGAGAATGTCGTTTGTGCCCTCGAAGATCCGGAAGATTCGGACATCTCGAAGCACGCGCTCAACTCCAGGCTCCTACCACAGGGAGGACAGTGACTCCATGAGCCCCCAGCCCCCAAGTGGCACCACCCACCACTGAGACCCTGGCCCACCTTCATGAAGCCCATGCCCCCCATGATCTGGATGCACTCATCTGTCACTGTCCAGGCCGCCTCCTAGGGACAAAGAGTCAATGGAAGAGGTGACTGTTGGAGCGGCCTCACCAACGGGCCCCTTCCCTTCCTGGTATGCCCAGGACCTCACCGAGCCAAAGATTTTGCTGATGGCGGCCTCTATCTGGAAGTCCGTGAATCCCTGGTCCATGTTGGCACTCAGCATGTAAGCCATGGACTGAGGTGACACAGTTGGTTTGTGGGGAGAAAGGTTGGGAAAGTGCTGCATCAGAACTTGCCTTCATCTCCCATCTGCCTAGCTCATCAGGGTCCCTGCACTCCACCCCGACACTGTGGTCAGGTGCCCCGGGTCGTTGCGTCAGTGGTGTATAGGTGGATAAGCATTTAGGGCACTTGTAAAGCCCCTCAGTACGCCTGTGTCATGCTTCCATTTGGGCAGACGCCGAGCTGGCTATGCCTCCCCGCATCCCCTAGGGCATTGGTGTGAAGCTGGAGACCCACTGCCCCAGGTGCTGCTGGGGGTTGTAGTCTGAGCCAACTGGATGAGCACTATGGGTAGCTTCCGGGGAGAGGGGTGGTGTGGGAGGCCCTCACCTCAGTCACATACTGCAGCATAGCCATCCGAGCCAGCTTCTCCTGGATGAGCCCAAAGTTGTGGATTTTGTCCCCGAACTGGGTACGATTAATAGCATGATCCACCTGGAAGAGGGCACATGGGTCCTGCTGTGGGTGTCTCCCAGGGAGAGGTCCCATGGTCCAAGCTGCCTGAGTCACACTAGAAGGACACCTAAGTTAGCAGGCCAGGAGCTGTTGCTGCTGGGGGTATGGGAGCCTCTGGTGTGGGGACCATCTGCAAGGGGACAGGGACTCTTCAGGCCTAGGTTAGGGACCCTCAGACAGGGTGCTCACCGCCTTGGTGATGATGGCTCTCATGGTGCCTGCAAGGGCTGCCGCCATGCCAAACCTTCCGTTGTTGAGGATGTGCACGGCCACTTTAAAGCCACTCCCGACCTCGCCCAGCACGTTCTCTGAGGGCACACGCACTCCGTCGAAGTGCACCTCGGCCGTGTTGGACGCCTTGATGCCCATCTTCTTCTCGGGAGCCCCACTGCGACAGGAGAGGGGGACAGCAGAGGTGTGCTGCAACTGGGATAAAAACTTCCTTTCCTTCCTGATGAGCCAGGGAGGACGCATGGGCACCCCCTCATGCTCTCAGGTCCCAGGAGGTGTGGCCACGTCCTGCTACTACATATGGAACTTGTTTTCATGTTCCAAAGCTTTAGGTTGGGTTGTTATTTGTCCCAAAGGGGAAACAATATGTACCCACCTTAGCATCTGCAGCCCCCCACCCAGCGTGAGCTCTGACAGCCTGGTCCTGCCTCCATCCTAGGCCCTGCCTCTGCTTCCCCAGATCCACTCACTGGGTGACACCTCCAAAACCCCTCTCCACCACGAAGGCTGTGATCTTCTCCTTCACAGCCCCTGTGGCTGGATCTGTGATTGGTGTCTTGGCAAAAACTGTGAAGATGTCTGCCAGGCCCCCGTTACTGTGGAGGAAGGAGGAGCTTGGTTAGAGCCTCAGGTGCTAAGAGCAATGGAGCCTGGAAGTGGGCAGAGGGCACGAAGCAGGATGAAGGGAGGAAAGGAAGATGACCTGATCCAAATCTTGCTGCCATTGAGGGTGTAATACTTCCCACAGGGGCTGGGCACAGCTGAGCTCTGGATGGAGGCCGCGTCAGATCCACTGGAGGGCTCGGTTAGACAGAAGGCAGCTATGGTCTCCCCTGTGGGAAGAGGGAACGCCTTCAGCAGAAGGCCTGATGGGGAACCAAGTTCCTGCAGCCCTCTCCCCCTGCCCCCGCCTTCCTCTGCAAGCCCAGGGGAGCCTCAGGCCTTGGTCTTCCTGGGTGGCCTCACCAGTTGCCAGTTTAGGGAGGTATTTCTCCTTCTGGGCCTTGGTGCCAAAGAGCAAGATGCCTTTGAAACCAATGCTCTGGTGAGCCCCCAGGGTGACGCCGATGGCGAGGTCATGCATGCCCACGATCTCCACCAAACGAGCATACTGTAGGGGAAGAAGGCGGCTGAGGTCACTGGCTACATGCAGGAGAATGTGGGTGACAGGGCAAGGCTTGACCTGGGCACTTCCTTCCCCTGCCTCCCAACAGTGAGTGTGGGGAGGGGGTGGATGCCAGACCACATAGAGGGTACATGTCTATCCTAGCTCTCATGGGAGCTGCCCTAGTTCCCCTGCCTCCACCTCCCCAGGACTTGGGGATCAGTATGTGGTCTTGGTCATATTGGCCTGTCTGGGTTTTTTTTTGGGGGGGGGTAGGTGAATGTGACTGGGAAACTGAGCATTATACTTATACAGACATCAAGGAATGGAAAAGACCTTAGCTCTAGAGGAGGGGGTGCCAGGGCCTCCCGTGTCACCTGCGTGTTGCAGAGGCCAACGCCGCCCAACTCGCTGGGCACTTGCAGACCAAAGGCCCCCAGCTCCTTGAGGCCCTGCAAAGTCCTCTCCTCCACCATCTCCAGGGCATCATTCTTGGCAGGACTGTTTACCTCCTGTGGAGGTAAAAGCATCTCACGACCCACCCAGGAGCCTTTGCAGACTCCTTACCATCTGCCCAAGTCCCCTACCCTCAAGTGCACTCCTCACCTCAAAGAAACGGGACACGGGCCCCACCAACTCTTTGAGAAACTGTGTCTGCTCTGGGTTGAGCACTGCGGGGGTGGGGAGAAGGGCGAGCCAGTCAGGTGAGGTTGTCAGGAACCGGACTGGCATCCCCAGCCAGCTCTGCCCCCTTCCTTCCCTTACCTGACGGGTATGGGAACACCTGCTCAGTGGTGAGCTGGCCTTTGAACATACCCACAGCGAAGGACCTCGATTCCTGCCCGGGGGGTGGGGAGGGCGATATGGGGCTCTGAGAGAGCTGCCTGGGGTGGGCGTGCCCCGACCTAGGTCCACCCAGCCTGGGAGCCACATACCGCCTTGGCCCGTTTTTCCCCGTGGGACGCATCATAGGAGGCGGAATCTGACTTCTCTGCAACGGCCTGGGGGAAGGGGTGGTTAGCGAGGCCAGGATGGGTGGTGCCCGTGTGCCAAGAAGCACAGGGTGTGAGGCCTGAGTCTCTCCGGAGCCTTTACCCTAATTGCCAGCCAGGGCACCTCGGGTTGCCCTTTCCCCTACTTTCCCTATGAGAGCTGTGAGCAGGTGGCCAGCACGGGGAGGGAGACCCCTGCCGGCAGCGGGGAGCCCCCGCCCCAGTCCTCCGGCTCTTACCTGAGCGGCCCCACTGGCATAGAGTCGCCGGGCAGGGTCAGGCCGGGGCTGCCCCAGAAACGCACTGGATCGCGAACTGTGAAGAGTTGGGGTTCGGATCTGGCTTGGTCCTCGGCCACCCCCTTGACCCTCCAGTCAGTCATACACACACCTTGTGCCCCCCAACCTCAGCAGCTGCCTCCCCACGCTTGGGGCCACCCAAGCCGTCCGCATCTCGGAATCGCTCCAGCTGCCTCTGCCGGTAACGTTGACCTAGCCCTCTGTCCTGCCTGCTCAAGTCTGAGTGCCCCAAGCCCTGACTCATTGGCCACAATGCACTGGGCGGCGGGGGCGGGGCTTCCGGACGCTCGGCATGCTGGGAGCTGTAGTTCCAGCGCGGCCCCGGCCACTGAGGTCCAGTTGACCTAGAGCGATCTCCAAGCGCCCTGTTTCCTCGCTAAACTCGTTTACCTTCCTGTCCGAACTAGAATCTAATCTAATGAAGGGTTGATGAGATAGGACTGGACGGCAGAGGGAGACGGTTAGGCGGCTGCAGCTAGGGGGCTGCAGCTAGGGGGACAGAGACAGACTGAGGGAGGACTGCCCAGATGGGGTTACACTGGACAAGTGGGAAGAGACTTCTGGGGTTCCTCCTGAAGTATGTCTCCACGCATGTAAAAGGCAGTTGGGGGCAGGGGCACTCCAGCTGGCCTGTGAGCGTCTCTCAAACCAATTTTCCTCAAAACTAAGAGGGGCCCCTTACTCAAAATACCTGACTTTTCACAGTGGAAGGGACACCCCGGTTCACCACCTGGTCCTGGGAAAGCCTCAGCCCTTGCAGAAACACCTTGTCAAACCACCCTGTGCTGGGTGGCTGGTTTCTGTGTGTGACCCTGAGGAGAACTGAATGAGAACGCCCATCTCCCACTCCCAGCCCCTTTCCTTTGCCTCTAGCTTTAGCCAGGAAGCCCTAGGTGGTGGGTTCAGGCCCCAAAGGAGCGCAAGAGAGAGACAGGCCTGGGCTCCGCTTCCATTCTGAGTCCTATTCTTTCTCCTTGGGGGAGACCCCTCTTCTTGGCCCCTTACTACAGTGTTGCTAAGTGGTACTGGTTTTGGGGGCAGGGTGTGGAAGGGGATGGACAGAGGGCCAAGGATGTGTCCAGAAGTCAGGTGGTGGTGCCCTGGGGGAGAGGGGGTGAGGTCAGGCACTGCCCACTTCATCTCCCAGCTGGGCCTGGGTGCCAAGAGGGCAGCTCAGCTCCAATCCTGGCGGATTAAGGAGATTACAGTGAGAGAACGGAGCAATGTCCCAGAGACCAAGAGGTGAAAATCGGGGTCCTTGTGTAGAAGGGAGGCCTTGAGAACAAAAGTGGAGCAGGTGGGCAGGGAGCTGGAGGTGAATTGGTGTTGGTCCTTTCCTACTCCCAATCTCCCCCTCACTTGCTTTTGACCAGCTCCCAGGTCAGTCCTCTGGCTTCTGGCGCCCCCACTGTTGCGGTGGGCACCGCCCCTCCTGGCGGTGCTACACAGCGACCTCTTCCAGGCCTTGCTGGGTGAGTAGCCCCAGTTTTCTTAAGGGTCAGTGGGACTGGAGGCGGGGTGGGGGAGGGCAGGCAAAGACTGGCCTGGGCCTCTGCAGGCCATGTTAGTGAAGCCCAGAGTTGACTGGAAGCCTGGAGATCTACGCTCAGTCTTCAGCACGGGGTCCCTCCTGGTAGGATGGACTAGGCTTGGCTGGAGGGGCGGTGATGGTGGCTGGAGGAAAGGGGGTGCAGGGAGCATGACTGGGCTGTGTTCCTGCGACAGACATTCTGGACTATTACGAGGCTTCCATCTCCGAGGGTCAGGTAAGACTGCAGGGAGTTCTTGGCTTGCTGTGGGAACAAGCGGGCAAGGGGCAGCACAGTGGGTGAGGGTTGGGGTCAAAGTTGAGTAGAGCCTGGCTGAACCCAAATGATCAGATGAGAGACCCGGGGCTCCTAGAGACAGAAATCCCAAGTTAGTGACCCAGGGACTTGGGGACATTGAGAATACACCCTCCCTGAGAAGGCCCTATCCTCTGCCCCCTCTCCTTTCTTCCCTGTCTGCCTCATTTCAGCCCCTGGAGGGTCAGGGCGTAATTACTTTCCAGGCGTCCTGCTGTGATTCCTGAGAGAGAATCAGGTCCCCAGGGATTCCCTCAGCAGCCCCTCCTTCACACCCTGTCCCCAACCATGACCTCCCTTCAGTATTTCAGCAACCAGAAGGTGCTTCAGTCCATCTCTGGGCGCTGGCTCCCCTTGAGAGCTGAAGTCCACCTTTCTTGTCTTTGCTGCCCTTGCGGAGGGCTGCCTGGGTCTCCATGTTGGCTTCAGGGCGTCTCAGCAGCGGTTTCTAGCTCCCTTCCCATTATCCGGGTTCCTGCCAGCACTGAAGGAGTTAACTCTGCTAAGGCACCCCCCCATTCTGGCTCCTCGCTCCCTCCCTCCCTCCCCCTGCTTCCTCTCTCCTCCTCTCTCCCCTTCCCTCCTCAGCTCCACGGCTCCCTTGGCCGCTGCCGTCTCCAGCCCCCCCACCCCACTCCCCCGCCACGGCCCCTAGCCCCTGGCCGCTTGGCAAGACCCCCCCCTACCCTGGGGCTCCCCGAAATCCAGTTCCCCTCCCCCACCCCAGCTCATGCCCCAGCCCTCGAACTCCGGGGCTGCTAGCCCCCGGTGCCCCCGCCCCTCCTGAAAATCGGGGTGTGCTCCCCAAACCCCCTCCCCTCCATTGGGGAGCCCCTTTCCGGGCCCCTTTTCCCTCCCTCCCACGCTCCCATACCCTTCCCTTCTCCAACCCCCTCCTTCCCCTCTCACCCCTCCCCCCATCCTGGCCCCCCCTGCAAAAGTGGGGTGCGGAGGGGGGAGGGGTGAGAACCCACCACGGGGAGGAAGGCAACTCTGATGAAGTCAGAGCCCCTTACCCGCCGCCGCGGCCAGGCCCCCCAACATGGACTGTCTCTGTATAGTGACAACCAAGGTAAGCCTGCCGGGGGCTGCTAGCCGGAGGGGGAGGGCAACAGTTTACGGGGAGGGGTCCAGCAGGCCTCAGTTGGGACTGGAGGCCCTGGAGTGAGAGCATCACGAGTAAGATGCTTTTGGGGTCCATGATTTAGTTTTGGGGTTCACAGCTGAGAAAACGTTGAATTTGGCCACAGGTGCCCCCTGGAGTGATCCCTTCTGTACCTGTAGAGAAATGGGAAATTTGGGATATTTCACGGTTTGGGGGAGCTTGGTGGTTTGGGGGGTCCATTGGCGATGTTTGAGGGAGACTTGTTTAGAGAGAAGCCTGGTTCACATGGGAGGTCTGCTTGTAGATGGGGTAATGTGGACTATGCATGTGTGTGTGTATGTGGGGGGGTGTCCTCTTCTCTCCTGGGGGCGAAAAGCAGGCTTCCACAGGGCTTTAGCCATTCCAGGGGGTTCCTGGCATAAAGGTTCAGGTAACTGGCTGTGGGTGCCTGAGTGGTCTGGGGGTGTCAGCTGGAAGAGAGAGTGGGCCTCCAGACTGTGGAATGCTTTGTGGTAGATATCTTTGGGGCTGCGGTCTCAATATGAGGGAATTGTTAATTTGGGGTTTGAGCTTAAGGAATGGAGACAGTTGGGTCCTGCCAGTGGGCTGGGTCTGGACACTGGATCACCTGAGGGAGTGGGCCAGGTGAGGCCAGGACTGGTGGTACTCCCATGGAAGCAGAAGGGGTGCAGTAGCTGCCAGTTCTGGAGGGAGGTGGACGAGTGGTGTGGGGATAGAGGAGATTTGAGGAAGGGGACCAAGTGGATAGTGCAGAATTTAGGGGTGGCCCAGGCAGGTACCCAGTGTCTGCATCTTCTCACACACTGCCATCAGACCTGGGCAGAAGCACGGAGAGGACTGCCTGGTACCCCTGGGATCAAAGTGGGAGAGGAAAGCTGGGTGGACAGGTTTCCTCCATCCCACCCCAAGGACTTCTCATGGAGCCTGGTGGGGTGAAGAGGCGGCGGTGGAGGGCAGGGCCAGCAACCGTGGGCCTCTGTGCAGGGGTGCCCCCAAGGTTGGTGCTTGGTGAAGGCATGTGCAAGCTGGCCCCTGGTGGAGAGTGTGATGCCTGTGCCTTCCAGAGCCTGGGACAGGAGAGCTGGGTGCCTGGTGTGTGGAGGGAGGCTTGGGCGGGTGGCAGGCAGCTGGGGGCTGGGGGGTGGGACAGGAAGTGGGGGCTGCGGGAGGCGGGGTCCGGGTGAGTCACAGGCTGGGGAGGGGGGTTATATTTAGTGGGAACTGCATCTTCTCATGGGAGGGAGCCCAGGACACACATGTTCCCTGCCACAAATTCGCACATATGTGTGCACACGCGAGAGTGCTTGGAAGAGATGGGGGGGTGCAATGTCCTTGAGGTCTGGAACCCCCACCTTTTCTCCACCAGGGCTACCTGCTGGTGCCCCATTCTATGGGGCTGTGGGTTTTCCCCCCAGGCTGCTGCTTCCCCAGCCCCTGGAGTTTCAGAGACTGCTTTTGGTGCTTTGGTTTCTGGGGCCCAGTTTCCTTTCATATCCGTGGGCTCCTCCAGCCGTCTGCTGCCTCTAGGCCTGCTGTTTGGCCTTAGTGCTGCTCTACTCCACCTCTGTGCGCAGGTGTATACAGAAAGCTGGACAGAATGTGTGGGTGCACACATCCAGCACATGGATGTGGAAATGGGAGTGAAGGTGAGGGGCTGGCCTGTATTCTAGAGTGGGTGGAGGATTTCTTCGTCCCTCACTTCTACCATCTTGCTGTGAAGCCCAGGGCTGCGCCTCCGTGCAAGAAGGAAAGCTGGCAGAGACCATCATGCATTTGGGATTTTACTGAGGCATGGAGACCCAGGCTTTCCCTCCGCCTGGAAAACTTGTCAGCTTAGGATGGTGGGGACTCCAACTCCCATAAGACCTTGAGGCACAGGAGCCCTCAGTGTTAGAGGGCTGCTGGCCACAGGGGTGATGGGAGTTGTGGTTGGTCTCTATCCAGGGCAGCGGAGGGCAGCCCAGCACGAGCCAGTGGGGGGCACGTGGCTCGTGCCACTCACCTCCCCGCATCCCCAACACACCCGAGAATGCAGGGTGGGGTGGCAAGAGCTCAGGCTTTCCTCAACTCCCGTCTGGGAGCCCTCCATCTTTTATCGCCTATATTTAGACTCCTGCCGCAGTGGTGGAAGGAACATGTATGGATGCCTGCTGGGTGCTGGGCGCTGTGTTGGGTGCAAGCTCTGCTTCGCATGCCATCGTCTCGTCTTCCTCGGCGCCCATCTCTCTTGGCAGTTGTCTCCCGGTCTC